CCATCCGGGATATTACGGCGTCTTGCAGACAGCCACGCAGTGCGTCGTTAAGACGTAACCACCGCCGTTTCGCTAACCCGCAGGTCAACGAAATCCTGTCGAGAACGAGGTTAGGCTTAACCAGTCGTAATCGTTACATCATTCTGAACATTCCCTCGAAGACGTGACGCGAACAATTGGCCGTTGGACACCCTTTTTGTCTCCCCGAACTCCAATCTCTTAGAGAGCTATCACTCAACAGCTATCTTCAGCTCGTATATCGTCTCTCCAGGCCGTATCTCTCTCACCCCGAGTCGATTCTGTTCAGCGCCCCTTCATCGTTGACCGCATTTCAGAGAGCATCTCCAGGGCTAAGTCTCTCTTATATGCAGCTCAACAACGTCAGAAGGCCTTCGCAGACCGTGGTCGAAGAGAGTTGGAATTTGAGGTGGGCACACAGGTTTTGCTGTCCACAAAGTATCTCCAACTGAAAAATCCGGGAGCTAGAAAGCTACTTCCGAAATGGATAGGTCCATTTAAAATCTTGGAACGACTAGGCCAGGTGGCTTATCGGTTGGATCTTCCAGACTCGCTCAAGATCCACCCTGTATTTCACGTTTCTTTGATTCAACCGTACAGGTCAGATGGCCGTGTACAGCCCCCACCTCCACCGATCGAGTTGGAGGATGGCCTGGAGTACGAAGTTGAGAGGGTCCTCGCTCATAGAGACCGAAAGGTAAGGACGCAGGGGAATCGAACAGTGATTCGTACGGAGTACCTTGTGTCATGGAAAGGGTATGGACCGGAATATAACTCTTTCGAACCTGAGAGAAATCTCAAGAACGCGCCGGATGCCGTTCAAGAATATTGGGACGTCACCGCCAAACGCTCCGCCGGGGAAAAGAGGCGTCACAGAAGAGCGGGTGTTACCTCAAAAAGAAAAGCAAAGGCTGCTTCTCTACCTGCTGTGAGCGACAGTAGCAGGGTAATTAAGAAGAGGAACCGGAAACCTCGACCAACCAAGCAGGTTGCTCAAAACGTTTCGCCTCCCTCTTTCCAGATGCGTCTCAGGGAGCGACGTTGATGGAGCTTTGTCCGCTGTTAGCAACAACGAAACTTTAAAACCAGAAGATCTGGTAAGTGTGCAAGACTGAAATCAAGATGATTAGGTCAGCAGACAAGCGTCTGGCACGACGAGTTAAGGCACGGTTACACCAACCAGTAACCGTAAGCGTGCTTGTTGGAATCTCTCTTAATTTTATTGACGAAGACGTCAATCCTTTTAAGAGGGGGAGAATTGTAACGTTCAAGTGTTACGTGACAGTTCAGAGCATTTACAATGAGGAAGAACCTCATTGACTTCACGGACAGGCCATACGCTATGCGGCCGGCGGCTGAGCGCGCGCCACGCGGCCGGGCTGAGTTAAACCCGGAGTCGCGCGGTCGGGGTTCAGATTTTGCAGCGCGGTCGCGCGAGTCGCGCGCCGCGCGGCCTGGCGTACTCTTAACGGTATGCGAGGTTTAGACAGCTTCGCAATACATCCGTTACTTCTATGATACAAGTTGGACTTGTGTCAAGGTCACAAGGGGTCCATGAAGGGCTGGAACGTTTAAGATAGAATCTTTACCGTTCATATGTCGGTTGCACATTCACATGATCCATGTGATTTATTAGCCAATGAAGCGCTAGTACTTCATGTGATCGGTTGCATTCGTGATAAGATTGTTCAACCATTTGGCGATCAGACGTCAAGCAGGCATCCAACAATCGCGTTTCATCATGTGATTCGTGTCAAGGAAATTCGACACACATAAGTAGCGTGGAGAAGGGAGAATCCTGGCATGAGCGCAAGGTGGCTTTCAACGCGTCCTTCTTAGAAGGGATTTATCTTCTCCTCAGCTATTCTGTGAGCAAGTATGGCTTCCTTATAAGTGCTGTACGTTTCAGGGTGTGTTTGCCGCCTCATCCGATTTCTTCTTTCCCCTCAGTGCTTTGGGTTCGTACCGGAGGACCGTGGGGATGGGGTTGGGGAGCTTGACTGGCCAGTTTGAGCACTTTTGCGTCCATCCGATTGCAGCTTCCGCCACTCTCAAAGTGTGGGGGGTGATTGATGAGGCGCTGCAGTGGGACGAACGCTCGCTGAAGGCAGTTTCATCTGCAACAAGCAAATGCGCGAACTTCAATGAGTGGATGAAAAGGGACTTTTGTTTGTCAGGTGTCGAACACAATGCAAAAGGATGCGCGCCTCCAGAAAGCATGAGAGTAAGCCCGAAACACTCCTACTTCAAATCTGGCTTGTGGAGTCGGCCTTAAGCAAAGTGCTTCTTTCATTGCTGCTTCCGAGCCTGTCTAGCACGAAGAGTCTTACCACAGGCATACAGGCATCCAGGCGTACTGAAACCAGAGCAGTGTAAGTTGCACCCAGACACCTGAGCTGATTGCAACATTGAGCGAGGCCTGCAGACCTCTCCCAATGAATTTGTGGTCTGCATCTTACAAGAGTAGAATCAAAGTGCACGGCGCGCTGTGCAGTCTTCTTTATACTGCATTGGTTCGAAGAAGGGGCAGATGAGTTTCTGGCCAGGAACGCAATGTCAACCTCTTCAAAAGCAACTCACTGCGAAGAACTACTCTCAGTGGCGTTGCTGCTGTGCTTGTGGGAATAGGACTGCCATTGGTCAGCTCCTGGCCCTTCTGGTCCGTTAGGATAAGGTCAAGCGGCTTCAGTCCCGCGCTCTTTACAAGCCGCGCTTCACAGAACGCATGGAGGATCTCGATTGGGGTGTGGGCGACGGGCTCGACGACCGTGGGAAGGTCCTCCCCCTCCCATTTTACAACACAGTGCACTGCATGACAAAGTTGTTCATTTCATGACAAAGTGGATAAATGATCAGACGGAAGGTCAAAGTATCCTCTTAAGGTCCGAGTTTATGAGTTCTGGACACTTGCGATTGAAGGGAACTTTGCAATATTTGCACACGAAACAATGTTGATTACCCTATTTGGAAAGATAAAGCTTCTGAGTGCCATTTCAACGGAAGCACCTACAAGTCAAATAGACCTCCAAATCCTTGGGCCTCGGCCAGATCTAAAGCGCGAGCACACAGGCATGCATGCTCGCCGTTGCACAGTCGCTGGAATTCCCACAGTAGGGCCAAGCATGCTTTTTTGACGCCGCAGTCGGCTGACTGTCAGTTTTGACACCGCCAGTCGGCTGACTGTCAGTAGATAGGCCCCTACCTGCAGCAAGAGAGTTTCGCCGCAAAAGCGCCTCCTTGTCGCGCTTCTCCTCTCGCAGCTGGTGCTTCTCTTCTCGCAGCTGACGTTCCCTTACTCGCAAATCTTCCTCTCGCTTCAGCCACGTGTCCTTGTCACGGCCATCTTCCAAGCTCCTCCACGCCTTTTCCGCAGTGGCAATCTGCTGTCCGACATCTTTGATTTCCGCGTCCACTTCCGCAATCTGGTCATTGATCCTCTTTATCTCCTCCTCCATCTCAGCCTAAGGGCTCAATCCGCGAGCCGGCAAAGTGCCTGCGCGCACGATCAGCCGCCTAGCAAAATACTACCTCGCCACCGTGTTCTCTTCCCTCTTCCATTACAAATAATGTCGCAAGGAAGTGGGGCGGCCGGCCCTGGTTAGGGCAGAAATACATTGGCCGCAGTTCAGTTGGATTTCCAACAAAGTAATCTGAACTGTCGCTGATACATTAAATGGTACGACAGCGGCGGAAGCCTGAAGGCGTGCAAGAATTCGAACCCTAAAATCTGCTCGAGCCAGTCAGACTGAGACGAGACTTGTTCAATGGCAGAATCCAAGTTCAGCATAAAGTGCTGTAGCCTGTGACCACCATTTTGTCAAAAAGGGGGGCCGGGCTAAGGGCAACATGGGGGCCAAGGATGGCGCTGGTCGGAAGCGACCTTTGCAGCAAGTATCAAGAGAGGAGGCCAAAAAGAAGGGCGAAATGCAGCCAAAGGAAGCACACACAAGTGCGACTTTGGCAGGTGCCAGCATCGCTCCAGACCTGCTTGCGGCAGCTGATGCTGCAGCTCACCCGCAAGTAGACACAAAGCCTTCAAAGAAAGCACCCGCCAAAAATACCCCGCTCAATGAGAAGGCCGCTGCTCCCATAGAGGAGTTGCCAGAAGAGAAAGGACTAGCGCCAGCGCCGATCAATGCCGGTGGGGCATACATTGGGTCTGCACGCCCTGGCTCCGCATCCATGACCCTGAAGCCCACTGGAATGCAGGTTTACTGGAACCTTGCATCAGTGGACAGCTCGGTGCGCGAGCAGGCTGCCGCCACTCTGGTGTCAGAGCTGGTCAAAGATCAGCAGGCCTCTGAGAATAGGGACGGCGCAGCGGATGGTGGTAAAGCTTCAGTTCGTGGCTGCGCTCCCGGGGTGCAATATGCCTTGCGCAGATTGGTCAGAGGGCTGGGTTCTGGGAACAAGGTAGGTTGTTGCTTTAGGCATGGGCTTCGCGTTTCGGAAAACTGAAAAGGAAAAATGAAAAAAATGCTTCAAGGGCTTCATTCAATGACACTTTTGTATGGAAATAGCGTCAGTGCCTCATCGATTGCTGGTGGTCACCACTGCCAAGTCTTGGTAATGGTCATGGCGCAGTGCCCTCGTCTGTACCACTGCCCATCAAGGTGTTGGAACTTGACGATCCTTTTTACCACCGCCCATCAAGGTACTGCCTTTCATAAGATCCAGAACCGACCACCCCCAAGAGACCAGGCCAATATGGGGGCAAGGTTTTTGGTATGTTTATGTATGGTAATTGCTTTAGACCAAAAACGGAGAAGCAATCTCCTTACCTTGCAGGGTGCGAGGCAAGGCTTTGCATTGGCTTTGTCGCAAGTGCTGAATGTTGTCCCGTCCCTCTCTGGCGACTCCCTGCTAGAGCTGATCAACAAGGAGCTGGACTTGTCGGCGTCTGCAAAGGGGCAGGTCAGCTTTCATGCTTGCTTGATTGCATGCCTGGTCACTGGCTCTCACCTCTAAAGGTTGAATGTACCCGAAGTTGAGCAATGCTGTGGCCCGCAGCTAGGCTGGATTTTCTTGAGTTCAGCATCTCTTGTTGTGAATCTGGTTTCGAGTTGCTGTTAAGTCTCACTTGCACTGCAGGATGCGAGAGACGTGTACCTGGGCCGCATCTTTGCGTACGGCGCCATTGTGCGGTCGCCTTACCTGGTAAGTGCAGCTCAGACGGAGGAGCAGGTCCACCTGGCGGGGGCGCTAGTGCAGGCCACCCTGGAGCTGGGCGAGAAGAAGAGCTTCCTCCGGGAGTGCGCAGCGCAGGTTGCCCTAGAGCTGCTGCACAAAGTGAGCGCCCAAACACATTCCGGCCTTGTGAAAGTGTCAAACAAGGGCGTAGCACGTGGTGATGTATAGCGCTGAACTTTGGTGCAGCACATGTTGTCAAGATACCCCAGAAAATCTGATTGATGCATCTGACAGAACGGGTATGAGGGAACGCGGTTTGCCGGCCAGCTTTTGAGGACCCCCCTCAGCAATAAGCCGGTCAAAACGAGGGTCCCGAATTGGATCTAACAAAGTTACCTCTGATCCTGGGTTCTCTACAACCAATGGTTCGCTGAAAATTGGCCGAGAGTGTTCTCCTGTCATACATTTCGACAGGACAACATTTGCCGTTTCTGCTTGTCTGTGTCCTTTGTTGAAAAAAGAAGAGGTCGCCCGGTTTACAGCCTGGAAGAGGCTTATGTTACTTACTATCCAGGGGGGAGGATGAAACTGCAGCTTGGTTCCCCCCCTCCCTTGTGGAAACCGGCTGTCAAAGGGAGGGAGTGTGTACAGCTCTGGATGTGCCTTTTTTCCCTCTCTCTCTTTGATTCGCAACCATCTCCTGTACAGTTGCCGGCATCAGCAGTGGGGCAGCTTCTGAGTGCGGACCAGTCTGCGCTCTCGCTGTGGCTGAGCAGCTCAGAGGGGTCGTCGCCTGAGTCGCTGCTGCTGGCCCTACGCCTGTGGCAGTGGGGCAAGCTGAGCGACGAGGCTCGTGCACAGATAGCGCTCCTGCCGTCCAGTGGTCTGGTGCAGGACTTGTTCAGTGTGCCCCACCTGGAGAAGCTCCTGGAACAGCTCAAGGTGAGGGAAATCCGGGATGATTGCCAAGCGAGTCAGGGGCTGGTTGAATGCCAATCTGTGAGTTCGCCTTGTCTCGTTACACTTGTATCCGATTCACCGGAACAAAAAGTCACCTACTTCAGTTTCGTATTATGAGCGTTTTCATCCAGATTGGATACAATACTTCCTTTTCAGAGAATTGTCCATGTCGCGAGTTTGATATCCGACTCGGTCTTTTTGCAGGGCGCTTCTCACAGCCACCCCCGCCTCCATTCCGTCTGGTTTGCCCTGTCAGAGCTGCTGCTTTCAAGGTTCGACAGTGGCAGTGAGGCGGCTGGGAAGAAGAACAAGAAGACGAAGAAGGACTCCGGGGAGAAGGGAAACGGACCGGTGAGCATTTTAGTGCACTGTCTCTGGTTGAATACCTTCTGCTGGAGCATGCTTTCTGTGAAAATTAGTGTTTTTGTCACGAATCGGTCGAGACATGCCTTCCGTCTGACGGACGCCAATAAATTCCATAAGAAGGTTCTGCAGGCTCTCTTTCAGCATACGTGGTGGTCCCTAAATAGACGATGGGCAGAAGATTTCGACCAGAAGTGGCACTGCCAATAATCGATTGTCGTCCTGATTGAGTAGCTTTCGAGCTGGAGATCTTGGGTGATGCTTTGGTGTCTGCTTGTCACCGTGTGGCCTGGCTCCGATTGTCTCCTTTTCGTCCCACTGCTTTCCCTGCCCTTCCCCCACCCGTCCTTCGCTCCCCCCAGGCTGGCGCGTGCGGCCCTACTGAGCTGGCGTCCCTTTGGGCGGTGGTGGTGGAGGGCGGTCTGCTGCAGTCCAAGTCGCACGAGCGCAAGGTGCTGGCCATGGAGCTGCTGCGCGCCCTGCTGCTGCCGCACCTCACCGCGGCGCACGCCCCCGCGGTGCTGTCGGTGCGCTTCCTGCGCTGCATCCTGGACAGCCTGCGCGACGCCAACAGCCTGCTGCACAGCGAAGCGCGCCACCTGCTGCAGGTGGGCCCTCGCACGCACTCTCTTGTCGGAACACAAGGAGAGGAGCACCCCTTGTAGCTTCATTTGCTTCGACTGCTGCATTACTCTCTCAATTTCAGGGAGTAGGAACAATGTCCGACTGGAGTTCGAGTCATCGAGTTATCGAAGTCCCCCGCTGGCGGTTGTTCCTTAGCTTTTTTGGTAACAGACCGTTGCCTGTTTGCAGAACCTCCTTGGCTGGGTTGCGTCCGGTGAGGACTCCAGCATGCGGCGGGTGGCCCTCCTGACGGCTCTGCAAACGCAGAGTGGGGGAGCCTTCGACAAGGTGACCAAGACTGATACCGTGAAGAAGCTCAAGGAGGGCATGGACGACGCCGGCTGGCAGCAGTACCTCTCCTCTCTAAAGGCCGACTTTCTGAGGGGCGAGAAAGATGCTGCGGGGGAAGAAGCAGATGCAGACGACGCCCCCAGCACGAGCGGACCCTCGGGCGATGCAAAGAGGCTGTGGGCACTGGACCAGATGGTTGCGGTGTGCCGCCAGACGCAAGGGGGCTCTAGAGACAGACTGCGGGTCGTGATGGATACGGCGAGGTTTCTAGCGGCAGCGGGCCTGTTCGAGATCGAAGCAGATGGCGGTCTTGACGAGCTCCAGGGACTGGTCAACAAGGGGCTGCTGTCGCGGAGCGTGAGGGATGCGGCCGCGAGTCGGATGCTGTCCCTTCTGGGAGAGGCAACGTCCAACGTGGGCAAAGGGAAGCGGGCGCCCGTCGGGGCAGACGGGGAGAGCGAGGAGAAAGCTAAGAGGGATCCCCTTGTAGAGTTAGCAGAGTTTGTGGAACGGGTCGAGAGCTCCTCAGGAGCGGAATATGTGCGGGAGCTCTTGGATGAGGACAGGGAGGCGCTGGTGCAGCTGCGGGGCCTGACAAAGAAGATTGAAAAGAAGGTGAGCATCTTGCGGCCCGACGCTGGTCCGAGCATGAACTGTTTTCATCTGGTTGAACTTGCAAGATTTTCTGCTCTGTGTGATCCTTCCGATCTATCAAGTTGGTCATTTCACGAGTTTCTCTGATGTATTTTGTCCGCTTACCAATGGGAAAGGAAGAATGGTGCCGATCGAACTAAGATCGATCATCTTGCTACTGACTCTATCTATGCGGAGTAGCGATCTTTGCGGACTCCATCTTCTTTTCATAAGCGATACTAGTGCTCAGAAATGTCTTTGTTTGCAGCTTGCCTCTGCCGAAGGGCCCGTGGTCGAGCGGCTGTCCTCCCTGCGAGCGCTCGTGATCCATCTGCAGTTGGCGACCCTCCTCGAGCCTGGCTCGGCAGGGGAGATCGCGACTGAGCTGGAAGGCATCTACAAGTAAGTCCGCTTACTTTATTCACCCTTCTCTACGACCTGTCTGGCGGATGAGTCAAACGGGCTTCTGACGCTGTGCTATTAGTTTTAAGCCCCTCAAAAACTGGATCCTGCCCCTCAATTTGTCTCCGGTCGGGGTACACCGTTTCCAACTCTCAAGTTGCTGGAGTATCTAGAATGCTCAGAGCCAGTTGGGAAGCTAGGGATTCCGCTGACCGTTGCGTTGCGGAGCTTCGAGTTTTGAAAGCTTCCGTAGTCACTTCGGAGATGTTTCCGTGCCTGCCTGTCCTTAGCGCACTGTTTCGTGCTTGCAGGGGCGCGTTCGTGAAGTCGAAGAAGGCGGAGGCCGGCCCGCCGTACATGGACGTGCTAGTGGACGTGCTGCTCTCCCTCCTGGCGCGGCCCTCAGCAGCGGTGCGCGACGCAGTCGACCAGGTACGCAACGGCATGGCTGGACCGGGGTTCCTCGACCTGACGCTTCGACGTGGGTGTGCTACTGCCAATCTTGTGTTGCCTTTATCCGGTCCGTGTACGGGGCTTCATGCCGCTCCCGAGTCGTGTCCATCTTATTGCTGACAAAACGTGACAGTTTGAAGCTGTCCCGACAATTTTAGAGAGAGGTTTTGTGCTCATTCTCTGCATGCGGCCCCTCTTCGTCCAGGTCTTCAAGGCGTTCAGTAGCGACTTGACGCCGACGGGCCTGGCGGATCTGCTGCGCGTGCTGCGGCGCCAGCCTGGGTCGAAGCGCTGGAAGAAGGCAGCGGACGCCAAGAGCGAGGGGGCGGACGCGGACGAGGACTCGGACGCCGACGAGGATGTGCTGTCCGAGGAGGACGACGAAGAGGAAGAGGAGGAAGGAGGGGACGAGGGGGCTGCGGAGGAAGGGGCCGAGTCAGACGAGGGAGGAGAGGAGGCGGGGCCCTTACAGATCAGCGATGACGAAGTTGAGGCGGACAGCGATGGAGAAGGAGGTTCCGGCGGGGGTGGGGGCGACGAGTCCGAGGAGTTTTCGGACATGGACGACGACACCATGTTCCGGGTGGACAGGGCGCTCGCGGCGGTGCTGCGCGAGACAAAGAAGGAGAAGCAGCGCAGCGGCAAGGCGGGGGAGCGCAGCCGCGCGGAGGCGGCGCGCCACTTCCAGTACCGCGTGCTGGCGCTGCTGGACGCGTTCCTGAAGCGGCACAGCGAGCGCGGCCTCGTGCTGGCCGCCGTGCTGCCCCTCGTCAGCGCGCTGCAGCGGGCCATCAAGGCCGGGGCGGACGGCGCCCCCCTTGCGGACAAGATCCAGGCGCTTCTGAGGAGCCGCTTCTTTGAGGTAAGGACGGCCGGGGGCGTGGGCACAGGCGAATGTTGAGAGGATGTAGGGCTGGGCACCTGTGGACAGCGCTAGAAGTGGCCTTGTCTTCAATGCCTTCAGCGCGCCTGAAGAATTGAAGACTGGGCGGGCCGACCGCGGGGCTGCGCTGCAAGATTCTGAAAGGCTCGCCTCCGCTATGGGCATCAAAGCTCGACCATGGGGTGCAACAAGCTCGGCTCTCTCGTTGCTTCGCCGAAGCACGGATTCTTCCTCCATTCTGATCTCATGTTTTGCCTCTCGGTCCGGTCTCCAGGGTGGCCCCAAGTACCCGCGAGGCGCAGAGGTGGACACGACGGCTGTGCGCGAGCTGCTGGCCAAGGCCTTCAAGCACGCCGCGTCATCACACAACGGAAAGGTGGCGGCAGCGGCAGGCGGGGCCGGCCTCTACTTCATCAAGGTACGCGCAGCCGTCACGCGGCGCATCTTGCGCAAGGAGCGGTTTCTTTGGCTAGCGCAGGTGCTCAACTAACTGAGTGGGCTTGCTCATCTTTCCTATTTCTGACGGTTCGAAATTGCCTTTGTCTCGGCGGTTGTTTCGTCTAGTGAAAGGCGGTGTTGTAGGCCGCTGGGGCCAGAAAACGACGCTTGGCTTCTACATCAGGGTTGTCTGCTTCGTAGCTGCGTGAGCAACCCCACAGCGACGAGACAACCTTCCACAGCCTCCCTTTCTTCGAAGTTATTCTCCCTCATCTTCTTTTGTCGTCCCCCTTCAGGTCCTCAACGGCACGACGCCCGGCTTGGACCGAACGGGCGACGCTGACGTGGCGGCGGCTTTCCGTGCGACGTTCCAGGCGTTCTTTGCTCGACGCAGCCGGCTGTCGCGGGCCTTCTTCGGCGAGGCGTTCAGCCGGCACCCGTGGCTGGCGCGCGCCATGGCGGGCGACCTGCTGGACCAGTGCGAGGCCGCGCGCTCCGAGTTCCTGCGCACCGAGGCAATGCAGCTGCTCGCCGCCGTGCTCAAGAACAAGGCCTCCCAGGTGCGACCACCACCCAGGCTGGGGCGCGGGGTTCCTCTAGGCTCTGTGCAGCTCCACTGGAATTTTGTTGCTCTGTCGCCGTTGCTCTTTTTACACGATCGAGGAAAGCGTGCGGAGGAAGTGGTCCATTCTGACTGTGAACTCTCTGACCAAACGAATCATGGCAAGATGGTTGTGCTGGGCGTTAAGGTTTTACAGAAGCGATTTGTAGCACGACGAAACGTTGCTGCAAGTGCAAAAGAGTCCGAGAAAGGCACTCGGGCGATCCTCCATGGACAGTTCAAGATGATTGGCGATTCTCTTACTCCCAAGAGTTAGTTATTTCTGCACTGTTGTCTGCTTTGCTGTGCATATCGCATTCCTGACGCACGCTCCTCGCACCTGCAGCCGAAGTCCGGAAGGAGCGTGTCGGACACTCCCCCCGTCTCTTCGTCGGTGTGTCCGCCCACTTTCCCGGAGGCGCTGGAGCCCCGGCGTGCGCAGCTGGACCACCTGCTGGCGGCCATCCCGCGGGCCTCGTTCACCAAGGTAGCCAGAAAGGCGGAGGCGCTCAAGTTCGTGTGCGCTGCGCTGGGGGCCCTCCCCCGGCTGTACCCCGACTCGGAGCTGCAGCAGCTGGTGACGCCGGGGGCCATCATCGGGGCAGCGCAGAAGGCCAAGGAGGCGGACCCCGATGCCAAGAAGCTGACGTCACTGCTGGACAACGTCATCGCTCTGGCGGGGGCGGGGAAGAAGAAGGGCGGCAAGGCGGGGGGGAAGAAGAAGGAAGGCAAGGCGGGGCAGGGCAAGGAAGGTGCAGGGAAGGGGGGGAATGTGCAAGAGGAGGTGGAGGTTGAGAAGGGTGGCGCTCGGAGGAAGGAGGTCGTGGTCAATGGGTCTGGAGGGCCGCAGCGAGGCACCAAGCGGGGCCTGGCTGACGGTGAAGAAAAGAAGGGGGTGGCGGACCGAATGGAGCAGCTGCGAGCAGCGAAGGCTGCAAAGGTGGGGACCGCAAGTGACGGTCAGAAGAAGGGTGATGCATTGGCAGGAAGAGGGAGTGCAGTTCCTAGAAAAAAGGTCAGTGGCGATGTGAGAAGGCGACTCAAGGCGGTGGCCAAGAAAGGAGCGAGTGCTCCTGGCAGGAAAGAGAAAGTCGAACAATGAATATCAAAGAACTCTCAAGCAGCTCCGGCCTTCCGCCAGCAGATGCTGTCGCAACGGCTCGTGTACATGGACACGGCTTGGGCTTCATCGCTTTCTAAATGTGTGTGGCGGAATGTGTAAACCGATTGACCAAGGAAAGCTCACTTTTGACGAGGTTTCACGACATAATCGTTTCTATTGTATTGGGCAATTGCCGGCACACAGCAGCGAGCAGACGTTGTCCATGATACGCAGCTATGTTGCAACATCCTGTTGTAGCATAGCTATCCGCGGTTCGGCAGACACGTTTGTTTTGATGCAGAGAGTGACGGTGGCTCAGTAGGCCTGCCGTTCTTCATGGCGTCTCACGGTCTCAGGTTGTATGCACGGTTGTGTCATGCCTGTTATAACTTATAGCTGCTGGATGTGATTCAATTACAGCAGGAGTTTAGCATGGAATGAGCTTAGCGCATATACAGTTTCGACGACGAGCTATGATTGACACCATACACGCACATGCCTGCGTACCGACCTAGGACCGGCTGGCACCATCAACCGTCCGATCACCATCGTGCACCATCGTCCTGCAGCCAACGCATGACACGCTCTAGTGGGTACAGTAGTCTTCGGGCCGTTCGATAGTATACTTGGCAGATCGACGGCTGCTGCCCTGCCCTCATTGGCTTTCCTTCTTTAGAAGGGAATCCTTCGGATTGGCCGGCGGGTAACTCAAATTGTGCCGTATGTGGGCCTCTGCGCTTCAAGTTCTGGCGAGGGAGGTGCTTGAATGGCCGGTTCGATCTCGAAAACCTCGAAATCACGTGTCTATTTGGCAACAAAGCCGCAGCCTTTTTTTGCCGTCTGGCGGGGGGGTAGCTGGTGGCTCGTCGAATATTTCCGGTTCGATGCTTCTGGTGTTGTCTTTCGGGGTTACGAGAGTTACTAATGATGGCGGCACTGGCTCTTGTCGTCGAATTTTCGATGTAACTGACTCCGCAGTTTTCGGATTGGCTCCCCGTTTTGCGGACATATAACGAACGCCCGTCTGCGATGACGTGCTTCGTGGTCTCGCCCGCTCACCGTCGGACCTACGCGCTTTCGGGTTTGGAATGGTTTGCTGGTGCGTGGCTTGTGGCAATTAAAGGGGTTATTGTCCGCTTAAGATTCGCCGTCATCCCCACAGGCAAGCCACGGTCCCCCGCAGGGGGACTGATCGGTTCACCGCTTGTTCTTCACGCTGTCCGACCGATGCAGCCTGTGTCACAAAGACCAAGTTGTTCTGTTGCGGGCATTCGGTGAGGAAGCAGGGACTTTTGTGGGGGGGCCTGCGCTGCCGGCTGCAGGCCAGCTCCATGCAGGCTGAATGGTGGGGCCGCCCTGGCCTAAAAACGGAACTTGGGAGCTGGATTGGTCGCTTCATAAGTCCAACCATTAGGATTTATCTATCACTGGACTTCAAGTTCAGTTCTCATCTTGAGCTGGCTAGATAGGAATCACAGGATTACAGGGATCAATGCCGTGGATATGGCCCCTCCGATTGGGAGTACAGATGGACCGCGGGAAAGGGAAGCGTCCAAGACTTCTGGGGCTGTGGGGAGCGGTCTGCAGGGAGTCACAGGCGGGACCAGGACCACTCGGATTGAACATGGCGAGTGGGCAGTCGTGCTGCTAGCCCTGGCCGCTGCTGGGAACATTGTGACTTTGCGCAAAAGACTTCTGCACATACAGCGAATGAATCCACCTGTAAGTTTAGGAGAGCCATCATTTAGTTTCTGCGTGACGCTAACTCTGGGCAGGAGTCTAACGTAACATGCTTTGCACAGTGTACATGCCACTTGATGCTGACTTTCTGTTGTAGTCCCTCATGGTGTCCCGATTAGCAACCCAACCAAGTACCAATACTCAGTAAAACAGAAGCGAAAAGAAATGCTTTCTGTAGCCGCAGATGGGATCACTTGCAGCCACAGGTCTCCTGTTGGAGCTTGACAAAAGGGTGACGGCGGTAGTGCTTTCTGATGGTGGTGGTGGTGTAGCTGTAGCCTGGCGCACCACCCTTGCAGCAGGCCTGCTTTGACTGCCTCCAACCCAATAAGCTGTTTGTGCAGCGTGAGTCCTGGCAGAGCAGCTCAAGTACCGGCCAGCGCGCCTACTCTCAAAGTGCGCGCTCTGGGCCGCAAGCAAGGACTGATTATGAGGGGGCAGCCCGGAGAGCTCACGAGAGAGCTCAGCGGATGCGCACTATGTGGGAAGAAGAGTTTCGGAGACAGGTAAGCCATTGAACTCAGACATTCAGAAGAAAAGGTTGTCAGATTATGTGCTTAAGATGCTCCAGCATGGACATAATTTCCAAACCGCAGGAGTATAGTTGAACCCACAAAGGAATCATAGAAGCCATACTAACTTGATAAAAATTTGTTGATCTCTCTGACATCAACAAAGTTTCAGCAGGCCGCTTGGGAACTTGTCATCCCTCTGCATATTTGCCGTGAGAAGCATAAAATGCTCATTCTCTTGGGTTCCATCATAGAGATGTGGTTCGTAGTGCCAACTCGCATCTCCTGTACTGACTTCAGCAACGGCATCAGCGAGCATGGGAGCGGGAGGCAGCGGAGCGGGAGCATTTCCAGCAGGCATATGCGCGATACAACGCCCGCTTCCAATACCGGGGCCAGGGGGGTCCCTTCAGCTACTTTCAGGGTGCACCGCCCGCGCGGGGCGCGGAGCACCTTGCAGTACTGGGGCTGGACGGGTAAGTCTTCCTGCTGTCTTCAGTCATTGCACACGGCTATAGAATGCTTAACTTGTCACAATTGAGGTTGTTGGTAAGGCTGGAGAATATGATAGCGAGCCGCTGTTCCATGAAGGTTTGCAGGCTAACAAGACGGTGACCTTTTGTCTCTCACTTGATGTGAATCTGTGATGAGAGTGTCAACGTAGCGACAGGCTTGACCCACACTTCTCATTCTGTTTGCTTCTGCAGGACAAGGGGGGCAACATTTACTGCTGCGGAGATCAAGGTGCACATTTACAAATGGGTTCTGAAGGCGTTCTCAGTGTTATCCCCGGTCCTCATAATGGTTGACCTTCGGCCCATGACTGTGAAACGACTCTCAAGGTCCTGCTGTCGATTATTCCAAATAATAAGGGGGTTCTTTCAGTTCGGCAGTGCTTCCTTGTGTGCTCAAAGAGGAAGGGCGATTTTCGGCGTTTTGCAAGTCAGGCGTGTCCTGTGTGATGTTACCTACTCTTAGCTTTGGCTTGTAGATCAATTTCCGCGTTCTTCCTCACTGCAGGCTGCATTTCGGGCAAAAGCTCTTGAGACGCATCCAGACCGGAATCCACAGAATCAAGGTTTGCCATCCACATACAATTCACGCTTTGATGCTTTGCTTGGTATCTGTAGGGCTCAGTTGGGTGCCAATCCAGGTACCAGAATCTGCGCAAGTTTGCCGACATAAGGCCTTGTCCTAAGGGGCATCAACTTTGAGTCCAAGCTTGTTCGATGGCTGTCCGCCTGTCTCAACTTCATTGTGCGAGAGCCTGCCATAATTTTTGGTGGGCATGCATCAAGGCTTGCGGCTTGGATCAGGTTTTAAGTATCATATAGAAAGCTCGTAGACATGGCTCTGACAATCAGGAGAAATCAAGCTCCACCTGCCTTACTCAAACTGTGATTCTTCTGCAGAAGAAGCGAAGGAGAAGTTTCGAAAGGTAGTGGAGGCATACGAAGCACTTGGTCATGTACAAAAGGGAAGCATGTTGTAGGGATGAGTAAGCTGCTCGCACCTTTTAGGACCATAATCCAGTGTAAAATTGCAATGAGGTACATCTCTTCAACCGTTGAGTGAAGGTCATTCAAACGTCGTTTGATCAGTGTTGCCAACCATTAGAACTTCGCAACAGAAGTATAGTTTGTCGTTTGGCCGAACCACTCGACCACTCGTTCGACAGACTAAAGGTAGAAAGTGAGAAAGATTGGTTTCGAAAGCTTATTATCATGCTGCTAGCTAAGTAGGACGTGTTGTATATGACATTCGCAACAAACGAGCCTGACACTGTGTATCGTTGTTGACTGTGATTCTTGGAGATCGGATCTGGCTCTCAACACGGTGTTGAGCACACAAAGCTGCTGCACGTTCTCCACACGTACCATGGACGAGGCCATCCGAGTCGAGTTTGGATCACCCCTCTGATTGTATTGATATATCTAGCAGCCGCTCAATCTTTCAATAATCGGGTCACTGACCAGTAGCCGGCCAGATATACTATAAGCCAATTAAGGCCCATTCACTGCAGAACTCTGGAACCTCTCGTTTGAACTTGGGAATGTGCCAGTTTGTTCGAGCCATGAGGAACTTTGCCATGGAGAAACCGCTTATAAATTTCCGAGGAACTTGAATGCGGAAAAGCTTTCAATTAATGATGCGTTATCGCGAGCCATGGGCCTTTACTCCGAGCCACCGATATTTAATGTCTAAGTTTTCTGGGCTCCGATCAAAAACTGGAAACTGGATTAGATAAGTTCTCGAAGTAAGACGTACATATACTAACAAAAGATTCATGCAGGGGTTGGACGGATCGGACTTGCATGGTTATATATATACACACGAGTCTATTCTTTGCTTTTGCGATTCAGAGGGTTTTATGATGATGGTATCACTGCATGCTGATTACCTTCACGCCTTAATAAGTAGCGCACCAGACGTATACGGTCAAATCATTGCAAGCACTCATCCATGCTACAATTGTTGAATGGCTTACAATAGGTTGGCTCAATTAGGGTTTAGTACTTTCACTGACGACGTCAACATTTTGCAACCCATGCAATGAAGGGGGAAGGACGCTTCACTGCTTTCAAATTCAGGGAAGTTCAGGCCCGACTCGGTTGCAATTTGGCAAACTTCGATCAGTGCCAGACGCGGCGTGAGGAGGACCATCCAGCGCACCGGTGACCGCACCCTTCCAAATTCCAGTGGAAGCCTCAACAGTGAGTTGTAATGAGTGGGGAGACTCGGGTCGTGAACGAACTTCGACCTCACAAGAGCGAAATCGAGACTCAACTTTCAAGTCTCGGACTTCGGACTCCGGAGGCTGCGCCGACTTGCGGTCGATGGCAGGTAGGAACCGGTAGGACAGATCGCAGGTGGTACAATGCGTGCAAGAGACCGGTAAGAAAGATGCTACCGGAAGTAGTATAGCCATCAGTGTCCACGTGGTTTCTATACGCCCTTCTCATTGGCCATATCACGGACGCACAATAGCGTATTGCAAAGTGGCGCCGCTGGGGGAGAAGCACAATGCATTCATGAATGTGCATTGCACAATGCAGAGTACCTAGCCTGAGGCTGAACGGTAGGTACTCCAGCATAGGAAATCGGGGAGACGGTTGAAGAAGGGTGCGCTCTTTAGTTCGCTGAAACAGGTTTCCCCACCTGGGCCAAGGTCTCCCTGCCGGTGCAACTCCTATCACAGCCGGCCTCGCAGTTCCCGCCCCAGACGAGGTGGACCTTCTTAGCTAGAAGCCGCCTTGATGCTGTGAGGTGTGGCGAAAGCAAGGAGAAGTCAGCCCTGTGCCGATTGTTTCGCTCGCTGCCTCTTTTTGTGCGCTGGTGGTCACATATTGTTGGGACGGTCAGGCCGGCCAGTTGTAGCTGCAGGCGCTGCTGCAACTTAGAAGACGCGCTCAGACGCTTACATTGAAGATGGCAAGAGCGTGCATAAGGTGAGGGACGATGCAGATGGACAAGAGAGGGGGATGATACCTGCCCTGTGTACGGTTGCCCTGGGACCAGCGTTGCAGAGGAGTTGCTGACGCGTCAGCTTGTGCTGTCCTCTTGATTCTCCAGGACCTCGAGTTTGCGCCTTTGAGGAGTTTCAAGGTGCAGTGGTTGAGAGATTGCTGATGCTTTGCCAGACCCTCATACTGTGGCGCCAAAACCATTCTCCCAGTAAGTTCTCTGAGCTCGCATCGGAAGATATCGCTAGACTCTCTTGTTGATTAGGTCTTGTAGCAGCTGGTGAAAGATTCGATTCTTGCAGGTCGGTGACCGTAGCCTTGCTGGTGGCCTTGGCTGTGAGCTTCCCCCTGCTGGCCAGCGCCCACAATGGGGTAAGCAGTTCACCTTTAACCTCACCGCAGATCATTGTTACTGGTTTACTGCCATACTGTAAGAAAGTGTTGAAATTACAGGCTTCACAAGCATAAGAGTAAGCTACACATCCATCTACCTGCAATCTGCTTGTGGCGCCATGTCTTTTTTGAAACAGAAATTACGCCTGCACAAAAGGCCCCAGGCGCAATTGCAATCTGCCGCCGTGCTCGCAAACCTAGACTACATGCAGTCCTTGTTGACATAATGTGGGCTATCCACATACGGGTCTACTTCCACCAATATTTTTTGCAAGTTCTGTCTCCCTGTTGACATCATCCTGTCTCTCAATTACTGCCTTCTCCTTGGAAAGAGCACGCCTTCCCTCGACACCTGCCACCTCGCACCTTTTTGCCACATTCCTCACCGAACCACCCCCCCCTCTCTTTGGACCAGGGGTTACCCCTCTGTTCCGTCCTACCGCCCCTGATCCCTTCCTTGCAACCTTGGTTCAGGTGATCCATGACACCCCAGATGAGCCCGAAGAAACCCCCGCTGCCGCAACCACCGCCGCCGGGACCACTGCCGCGACGACTGGCTCCGCTACTGCAGCCAGTCCTGAGGCTGTGATCGATTTGCGCAGCTCGCACCTGATTGGCAACAAAGTGGGCTGTCTGGCGGTCATCTTTGCAGTGCCCTTTATCGGCTGCCTGCTGCCCTTCTTTGTGCGCTTCTCATATGACGTCATCGTCTACGGGACCCTGTTTGGCAGCGGCCTCTTCGTCACGCTGGCCCTTATGCACCTTGTTCCTGACAGCGCCGCAGGCTTCAACTACCTGTCCGACTCACGTGAGTGGCGCGCCTTGTGAACCTCCAGCCGGGTCGTCTATGCTAAAGCTTTCTGTACTGCTGGCCAGGGTTTGCTCATTGAAAAACAAGGACTAGGAGCGGATTTTATTGTTGGTACTTGATTTCGGACGAGCATCTGACGAGTCTGACCTGGAACGGAGCCTACCTATTCCGTCCTTGGCAGTTTGCTGATGGTAAATATGTCTAGTGTGCCCGCTTCCCACACATTGAGACCAAACTGAGCCTCTGTGCATTCTGTCCATTGCTTGGTTGTATCCATGTCCTGTGCTTGGCTGCTTCAAGTGCTGGCTGTTTCCACTTGGCAAAGCTGCGCTGCATCCAAGCATCACCCTGGTCCTTGCGCTGTGCAGACTACCCCTGGGCGTACCTCCTTGTGGTGGCTGGCTACTTCTTCGCCTTCTTGGCTGACCTCATCGTCCATGCCGTGTGGGAGAGGAAGGAACAGCACGACAGGCAAGCAGCAGAGGTGAGCCCAGGACACTGCCTTAGCAAACACGCAAACAAGCAATCAAATGTGCTTACAAGCAGTGCTTTTCTATGTCGACTATCCACGCTTCCAAATGCCTTCCACCACCGAAACTTGAGACAGTTGGGGCAGTACCCCGGTCTGTGTCGACATGATTGGAGCACCCGTTGGGGGCATGTGGAAAGTTCAACCTGACATCTTGTCCTGAATAGCGCTCGCCACTGTCAGCGGCCACACCTTCTTGAAGTCCCCTGCGTATGCTTTCTTGCTTGCAGCTCAAGGCGGCCCAGCTAGGTGCTGGGAGCGCTCCTGCGGCTTCGGCTCCCTCTGGCGGCAAGCTGTGCTGCCAGGCGCGGCCGTCCAAGCAGACGGTGGACGAGGAGACTGCGCTGGCGGGCGCTGCAGCGTCCTACTGCTGCGACGGCAACTGCAAGTGCCAGGGCGACCTGTGCCAGTGCCCCCAGGAACGCGGGTGAGGCGCAGCGCAGCCCAAGCAGAGGGCGGCCTCGTCGACAAAATGGCCCCAATGCTTCGTCGGATAATACTTGCATCGTTGTGCATAGTCAAGAGCCACTGCACAACGTGTTGGGATCTGCTAGATGGTCTTTCGACGAGGGCTTGTCTCTCCAGGTGCCCATTCCAAGTTTGTCCGTTAGATTGTTGGACTTGTCCTGCTCAGATTACCGGGTGGCATTGAGACTTTATCTGGTGGGATCGAGGACGAGATTTCAACAATATGCCTTTGTCCGTCAGAGCTGTCGGGGCCATCTGAGAGAAGTCGGTCAGACCCATATGCCAGGGCTACAGTTTCTTAAACCCCGCTTGTCGGCAGTAGTGTCAACATACCTCGAGATGAATCTGTCAGTAAATATAGTAGAACTTTGTACGTGGAGGCCAGGACATATAGAGCCTTGGGAAATGCTTTTATGTTACATCAGTTGGGTGTTTGTGCTTGGGCGCTGGAAGACCGGCAGTTTTTCTACCCAATACGTTGGGCAGTCCTAGGCTGTAATCAAGATCACACACCTACTCAGGTACCTGCGTTCGAGCGCAGAGGCACCGCCCCACTCCACTCATCTTCGCTGCTAATCTTGGGTCCAAGGTCCTTCCAGTTGCAGCTCAGCTAACTTGACACCCATCCTCTCTCAGTGGGCATGCCAAGCCGGGCGTGGGCGAGTTCGACCAGCAGTACCTGAAGGCGGCAGAGGCAGTGGAGTCGAAGCTGGCGCACAACGTGCACGGCCTCTCCCTGGCGGACATCGCCATCCTGGTGCTCGCCCTCTGCTTCCACGCCATCTTCGAGGGGCTCGCCATCGGCCTCAGCGCGACCTCCAAGGATGCCTGGAAGACGACCAGCTCCATTGTCATCCACAAGGTGAGGAGTGATCTGGACTGGACAAGAGGAAAATGTACCGGCATACAGCCGACTCTCTATGCAACAGCTGCGAATGCAGACTGTACTGTGGGATGGGTACTTGGTACTGTTGTTGGCATGGCTGGTTGTCAGGAAGGAGGCCATCCGCTGCTTACTTGGGCTGGCAGCTGAAGGTTTTTAAGACGGATCTGTGTGGAGTTAAACACCTTTGATTGCGGCATCGGCGACTCACGTTCTAGAGGTCCAAGCAGACAAAATACCAGGGGGCTCATCAGGCATCTCTGCCTATTTGCCTGCATGGATCCGCACTCCCAGACTTTCTCTCTGGTTGCGTGCCTGCTTCTTAGGTCGCACCGCAGCTGTTGTTGCAACGTGGCCCTCACTTCGTTTCCATTGCCTGACTGCTGGCTGTTTGATGTGCAGATTTTCGAGGGGCTGGCCCTGGGCGCGTCCCTGTTGATGCACAACCCCAAGCGGTCCTTCTTGTCGCTCCTGCCCTTTGGCGTGGGCTTCGCCATCGCTGCCCCCGTGGGGCTGGCCATCGGCATCATCCTGGACTCCACCGCGGAGCCACGCACAGCGCTGTGGGTGGACACGATCGGCAACGGCATTGCCGCAGGCGTCTTCTTGTTCGTGGGTATCGGGCATCTCATGGCCAAGGCGTTTAAGGCATCGTGCACCGACACGTGGAGGACGCCGTTCTTCAAGTGGACGGCCGCGGCTCTAGGCGTCACAACTATGGCGCTGATCCAGATGGACCACGACTGAAGGTGACGGGATGCCTTGGGGTCGTTCGTAACATAGCCATTAGGGAAGCGTGTGCGCTTCGCTGAGCTGAGAATACCAAACCATCATAAACAAATCAAATGCACGTAGTCAGTGGATCGACCGTGGAAACTTCCAGTTTCGCAAAGCCCTTTTTCTGCATCGTCGAGGAGCACAGTTACCAGCAACCTGAGCCCGGCCAAAGTTCTGTGGATCATCTGAGGGTTGCCATGACTGATCTCATTGCAACCAATATGATCACTTGCGGATTTCCGCATTGTTCTGGTGAGCCTCGCGAGTATACTATGCCAGCATGCGTCAGTGAATCAACGCATGGCATCATTTAAGACACGTTTGTATACACAGGCCAATGTTTCGGCATGCTCGTATGCGCGATCGAATGGTTTGTGTCTTATTGTTTGGAACTTCCGTCTCCCACAAAAAAATTGGATCACTTATATCATTTCATATTGAAGGCCAGAAAAGGCATAAAATGATGGGAACGCTGAGTGACGCGTGCACTGCAAGCTTAGCGCTCGTCACGTGCAGAGCCAGATCCGTACATTGCCATGCACCATGTGCAGCTTGCTCGATTAATTAGTCATGATCACTAGGAAGCGTAGGATCCTTGCATGATCATCTGATAAGTGCATGAGGTGGCCAATGATAGGCACCCGCATGCATTACCGGCTGCAGCGTGTCCAAAACCGAGGAGGATCATTCGGAGCTCAGCTGTCGGGGATGCACTTGTTTGAAGCTGGCACCGTCGCAGATGACTGGCCGCAAGTACAGATGCATGGTAGTCTCAAATTGTGCATAGGATACTTGACTGCAGCAGACGGTCAGCCTTTCGACAACCAGCCACAATCTGGCTTCTGCCTCCATCCATCAGAAGTTTATGCATCCTCGTCACTTGGTTCGGCCACGTCGTCCTCCTCGTCGTCGCCACCCTCACCATCCGCTATCCCCTCTAATAGCTTATCGACGTCCTCCCCCAGCGCCTCGAGCGCCTCTCTCAGCTTCTCCACCTTGGCCTCCTCCTGCCCCAGGCACACCAGCAGGTCGTTCATCTCGCCCTCCGCCTCCTTGGCCCCCACCTCCCGCCCCTCCTCCCGGGCCTGGGCCAGAGCCTCCTCCGACGGGGCACTCTGCCCGGAAGGACCGGCGCCAGGAGCGGACCGCTGCTGTTTCAACTCGGCTTCGAGCCGGTAGTTTTCCTGCCAAAGCACGAGGGGCAATCAGGGCTGTGACATGACCGCGGTTCGATTGGTCGGTCGAAAGAAAGAGCGACATCTGAAGGTGGTTGAATGTCAGTAGCTTTCGAGGGTGGTATCGACTGCAAGCTTGGGCACATCTGTAGAAAACAAGTCTATTTGAACACCTACCGAGAAGATGTAAGCCATTAAGCGCACCTGTTCGAGGGTGTTGTACGCGTTGGAGAGCGAGCGGAGGTCGGCCTCGTGTTTCTCGGCGAGCTGCTGTGCGCGCGCTGTCTCCTCCTGGAGGGCCGCCCGCTCCACCTCACCTTGCTGCACCACCCGCTGCAGCTCCGCCACCTGGAAGCCGCCACCGCGTTGGGTTGAAATGCAGCCAACAACGATACACACCAGGAAACGAAGAGAAGCCAAGCTCTCCCGCACGTTGCGAACAGAGCCAGCTATGGTCCTGTCCTGCTAATGTAGTCAACTTTTGTCAAAACCGGAACGGCAGACGCGACCCAAACATTGAGAGCAACAAAGAGAGCGTCGTGCACCTGTTTTTTGAGGGCCTCCGTCTCGGCCTTGACCCGCGCTATGTCCAGCGGGGTACCCCCCGCCTTCTTCGGCCTCGGCTCCGCTTGCAGGCTGCGAGCCATGCTCAGCGACTCGCGCGCGGCTCCATCCTGGAGCCCGCCGCTGCTTTCGCCCGCCGCCATCAGGTCCTGCGCAAGGGCCGCATTGTTCTCCCGCACCTGCGCAACAACGAGGAGCGGCGTGAGACTGCTGGCAGCCGTGACTCCGCTCCTGGCCCACGGCAACTCTTCAGGCGGCCGTTTGCGGTGTCCTCGTCTCAACCAACGTGGGAAGGAACCTGCCCTTAGAAAGACATTTTTTCCGCAGCCTGTCGCCAGCGAGGAGCGGTTGCTCACCGCTCCAGCGGGCTGCGGACCTGCACGACTGTCTCGTCGTTGGCACAGTCTATGTCCTGGCTGTTGCCTGTTTGTGCAGGCAGATACGGATATGAAGAAGTCGCAGCAGATCCAGATTCCAGACTGTGAGACCCTCGCTTGTCTTTCTGACTAACGAAGCAGTTCTTGATCTTGCCACAAATAGCAAGCCATCGGCGCTTCGCGCTCGACTGTCTGTCCGCTCACTTCGAGCAGCTCGTGCGACTGCGCTCGCAGCAGCTCCTTCAACCGCTCCACCTGCGCCGCCTCCGTCTCGCCTGGCAGCGCTTCAAACTCGGCGGCGTTCCCGTCAGACGTCCCCGCGTTGGGCCGGGCGTACAACTCCAGCGAGCGCGCTTTCACCGGACCCTCGATGTCGACAACAAACCTGGCGCGAATCAATCTCGTTAGTTCCAGCTCGGAGCTCCTAGCCGGTGAAAGCATGGCATTCATTCCCTTTCCATCATGTAGGAACATGCTCTATAAAAACTACGTGCCTGGCAATAGAAGACAAGACAAGAAGAGGCCCGATGCACAAGTTGGTCGGTACTTTTCTTTTGCGATGCTGACTCTGCCCATTTCCTTCTTCCCAGGGTGTCGTGAGACCTTTAAAAAAGCTTATGGTTGGGCTCACTTGACAAACTCCGCGTCATAGAAGGTCGTGAGCGACGCGTCCACGTCATCCTTCGGCCCTGCACTCCCGTTCTCTTCCCTTTCCTGTCCGCCCCCGGGGATGACGTCACCTGCAACCGCCGCCGCCGCAGTTGCTCGCGTCAGCGCGGCCGGCAACTTTGGCGCCGTCGCCGCGTTATGGAAGAGCGTCGTTTGGCGCATGTTCTCCCAGAGGCCGAAGAACTTGGGCAGCCCGATGCGCTGGCTGATCAGGTCCAGGATGGTGGACGCACTGCTGGAGGCCTTGCTGGCGGAGGCAGTGGCGGAGGGGGGCGGGCAGTAGAGCAAGCACACGCCCAGGAGGACGGCGGCAAGGCCCGCAATGTGGACGCTCGCAGGGGAGCCGGTGCTGTTGGTCAGGTCAGCTGCAGAGAAGGAGCGGATGGTGTTGTTATCCTGCGAAGGTTTTGGGAAGGGAAGAACAGGAGCAGAGCTGTGTGGAAATCAAGGCACATTGTGGCGGATCATAAGGCAGGCAACGGGCAGTCTTTGAGTTCGGCTGCGGCCGAGCAGTTCCCGCGTCAGGTTTGGAGGTTCAGCGCAAAGACGGTGGGCGCAGTACACGGGGCTGCTGTGTCACGTGTCATCGATTGCTGATTGCCCAGCCAGGCTCACCAACGAGAGGCAGATGGGCGGGTGATGCCAGGAACGCCGTGACGGCTGGCGGGCAGTCGTTGAGCCACGTGACGAGCAGGCGGAGGAAGACCGCTGGCAGCCAGGCGCTGCTTCCGGCGGCTGGGCCGTTGACGGCGGCGTACGTGGAGGCGGAGGAGAGGTAGCGGAGGCAGCGGGGCAGGAGCAGGTCCGGCTGAGCCGACGCAGAGGAGGCAATCTCGAGGGGGATCGTCAGGACCTGGCGAGGAACGCAGCGGGCACAGACGAGTCAGGAACGCGTCACTCTTTAACTTACTGTCGGTGCAGCTGGGGAGCTTGAACAGTTCCAGTGCAAAACTTCCAAAGCAGCAAATCCTGCGCCACCCTTTTAAGGGCAGGCCTGGACAGCGTCTGGCCATGTTGCCGAACGTTGCGCTCAGTGTTGAGAAAAAGCTGAATAGCAAATGTCAACAGGCGTCGAAACAGACGCATGAGAACATCTCAGCCGGAGGGACGTTCTCGAGAAGAGCAGGATCAACCGCTTCAAAAATGCAAGTCAAGTTTCTAGACCTTTGAACACGTGACCCTCATTCGAAACGTTTCAAACGTCAACCACAACGCGCTGACGGATACACAGAACCACAATCCTGACCATCGGGTAGCCATTCAGGAGTCGTCTGTCGCGCAAAGCGGCCTGGCGTACTGTGGGTCGGAGCCGGTGGTGGCTCACCCTCTCTTTGCACTGCCGGTTGTCCTTGAGGATGTGCAGCAGCACCCCCGCCGCGCGGCAGCTGGCCTCCAGGTCGCCCTGCCCCCGGCTGGCCACCAGCGCGCGCACCAGGATGCTCCCGAACGACGCGTGCTCGTCGTCCGCGCCGGTGGACCCCCGCCCCACGCCCGACGGCAGCGGCAGAATGGTGGACGCCAGCGTGGTCTGGCCCTCGGGGTTGCCCTGCGGCAAAGGAGGACGGGGGGTCTCAGGCCGAGCGGTTGAACAGATGGATAGAGCCTGGCCGGTGGAGTTGCGTAACAGCAACGGTGGTCATATGGACAACGCTACAGCATTCTCCACGAACGATGTCATCTGTCGCTGATCTTTTGTCGGCACATTCGCTCCAGAGAGTCTGGATTTCTGGCGACCGGGATCCTCGCTGTGACAAGTTGACTTAATTAAACGCACACCTGTCCATCTTACTACTGCTGGACAGCCTTGGTTACAGGGATTCGCTACCAACCACATGTACATTTCGTGTTGTCTCGACGCACCAACGAACCGGCCTCGACTTTCTATCCTCGGCTCCCACTCTTGAGCAGCAATCGGAGATTGACGACTGCCAGCCCGTTGCGCACCTCGCAGAAGCAGCGGAAGACGTACTCGGCGGCCGCCCTCTCGCGGGGGCTGCCCGCCCTGAGCGCGGCGTGCAGGACGGCGTGCAGTGCGGGCTCGCTGCCAGCCTCCCCGACCAGCTTGCTCCCCAGCGCCACCTGGCTCGGGCCGTGCCGCGCCACCGCGTCGCCCAGACACCGCAGCGCCTGCGCGCGCACGCCCACTGACGGCAGCCGCGGGTCCACCGCCAGGGGCACCAGCACGTCCAGCAGCGCGTTCTGTAGCCCAAGAGACGGGGGGTCGAATGTGCGAAGACAAGCAGAGTCGGCTTGCTTTTATTGATGCGTCAGGCAGCAGCGACGACTTACTCCCGGAGTCGGTTCAAAAAATACAGAGACCTAAGAAAAAATGGGTCCCGCAATGATGTAGGAGGGCGACATCGTGTTCTGTCGCATGGCTGGGCGGTGCGTTGCTGACCTGTGTGAGCAGGGTCTGGTTGGCCACGATGTTGGCCTCCTGCCCTGGAGGCATGTTGGCATTCCGCGCCAGCAGGAGCGTCACCGTCTCCAGCGCGCACAGCAGGTTGATTGCCTTCTGGCGCGGCAGGTTCTCTGCGGGCGCCTTGCGCAGCTTGAGCAGCCCCGGGATGGCTGACAGCCCCACGGTCTCCCGCAAGTAGGTCTGGCAAGACCAAGGAAAAATGTTGATATCAGGACGTTGAAGGGACCCGGACAAACAGCGGTTAGCCACCACATACTAATCTGCAGCTTCCACGATACCCGCCAACATCAAGAGTGGGTCGTAAGGCTTTGCTCGGCAAGAGACAGAAGCCAAGACCGAAGGATCTGCAACGAAGCGGAGGGCAAGTAGAGCGAACTCAATCACCCTTTTGAGCTGTTTCAGGGCCGCCTCAGGCCGGTCGACGAAAAAACTCGCCATCCACAAGAAATCCACGTCGCGACGAGGCGCGAGCGGTTCCCACACCCGTACCTGGTTGGAGGGGTTGTTGCGCAGCAGATTGTTGAGCAGCTCGAGGCAGTCCTGCACGATGATGCCGCCGTCGGAGCTGCCCTCGTCCGTCACGATGTGGAACAGCCGCTCGAACGCGCCCTCAAACACCACGATCTTCTGGATCTCCTCCGCGGAGCGCGTCAGGAAGATGAGCAGCAGCAGCGCCTCGTTGCGGATGACCTCGCGCTCGCCCAGCATGTCCATCAACCGCGCCACGCCCATCGGGGCGCCAAGAATCGCCTCCTGCAGCCTACACCAGAGAAGGAGCGGCGGAGGTCAGATCAGGCTGAGGCTCGTGTCTTCCATTGGACGGGTGGGACGGAGGGGTCCGGGAAAGAGGTGGGAGTGAGGAGTTGCTGAGTGCCGGGGGGCGAAAACTGCGGGTGAAGGCTGGGGCATGTCGGAACCGAAGGAATCAGTTGGAAGAGGAAGAGGGTAAGAACACCGTCGATTTGATTAAGAACAGGCCTCAAGCACTCGTAGAAGTGGCAGATATAAAGGGCTTCCAAAAAGCGCAGCCGAAGTGAGGCCGGTGACAAGAAGGTTCAAGGTCAAACGGTCGTTACAAGTCGAACTCGACTGAAGGGAAAAGACCCAGTTTGGGCACGGATGGGAGCAGTATGACGGAGGGCCGGACAGAGAGGGTTCAGAGACCAGACGAGATACTGGAATGACATCAACTCGTTGCAAGACATTTGGACGACAATCAGGCCAAGTGCGACTACAGAAGCGTCTTCCAAAAGGTTTTCAACAGATCTCCAAGGTGAAGCCTTGAAAAAAGCAGAATCAGAAAGTAAGATTCGAATAGCCCACAGGCTTGCGGGCACCCTGAACGTGACGGACCCAGTCTCCAACATGGTCACAGGGCGAATATCTCGAATAGGACCAGTAAGTATTACAGAGAAGATAAAGCAGTACGATGTCACAGACTCTCAAGATTCGAGCACAAGCGGTGGTGGCTGAGTCACCGCATGGGGCGCGCCCTGACCTGCCGGGGCTGTTTTGCAGGAGCACTGTGAGCAGCTGCACGGTGTGGTAGCGCACGTAGAAGTCGTCCTCCTGCAGCAGGCTCAGCAGCAGCTGCACGCTGCCCGCCTCGCGCGCAAACAGCTCCGCGTTGATGCGCCCGGGGGCCGCCTTGCCCCCCTGCGGCGGCGTCAACACGACCAGAGCGTTGATGAGCGCCTCCAGCGCGCCGCGCACCATCTCCACGTCCTCGCGCTCCTCACCCAGGACCGCAGTCAGGACGGGCAGGCCTGGGGGCAAAAGCACCAGCGGAGAGATTGGCACGAGGGCTATCCCCATATCTTCATGACCAACGGGGCTGGCCCAGTGATACGGCCGGCTTCACTTCATTGGGTGAAGCTACTCCCTAACATGGACCCTTCAACGTCGTTGCCCACATGGTGGACTGGCAGTAACATGAACCTGCCCTAGAAGAGCCAGCTCACACAAGACTGTACCAAAACCTGCTAGAACCTGGTCCCAACTCACAAAGTCATGCTCTTATTCAACACCTTAAGTTGACCGGAGATCGCCAATGGGCACCATGTCGGGTGTCGATGCAGGTGAGGTTGAGCTCCATACACAAGTATGCTGCTGTCTCTCTCTCCCAAATCTATTTTGGCGACAGAAGTAAGCTGTAGGAATACAAACTTTCACTTTAAAACCTGGACTATGCAGACTCCCTTTGCGGTTGTCTTCAAGCAATGGGCAACCAATCTCCACACCCCAGAGGGGGCTACTTAATTCTAAAGCTGAAACCCTGATGCTTCATGTGAAGAGAAGACTGCGGTGGCTTTCTGCCATGCTCTTCTTTCGAACCGGAAACCTCCGCCGGAAACCTCACCCATCGCTCCGAAGGCCATCTGGGCGGTCGGGTTCTCCGCCACAGCGTCTCGCAGCTCCCCCATCGCAGCACGGCGGTCCTCAGCAAGCCGGCCATTGCTGATGCGCTCCAAGAGCTGCTCAACACCGCTGCACAAGGACAAGCCTCCTAAATCAATTATCAGTGAGGCAAAGTAAAATGGGGCCCAAAGGTGGGGCAACAACCAGCAATCACCAATTGTATCCCAAGGGAAACCCTTAAGCTCCTGAGCACTGCTACTCAACTTGAGAGCCCTCTCAGGAGGCCTCTAGATGTTCAGTAAGGTCTTCCACACAAAGTGCTTTTAAAATGCTGATGCATTGTTAAAAGCTCCTTTCCCTGGGCGGAGAATTTCATCCTGCAACAGCTTTTGAATTCAGAGATTGCCCCTTTGACAGAAATATCTCAAGCCCTTGGTCTTAGAAACACCAGCTCTCCATTGAAAGAAGAGTTACGGCGACCTGCTGGAACTCCAGATGACTGAAGAGCAACCTCAGCAAGCATTTAGATGACGAGTTGAACTGTAGACCCATCCCCGATAGGGGCCTGTGGAGACTACAATGCAGTAACTTAGATGGATTCCCATGGTCATGCTTGACCGAAGTGAAAGGGACAATTGCTGTGGCCAGCTGCATTTGTTGAGCTAGTATGAGCGCACCCGTCATCATCTGACTGTTCCCCGTTGCCAAAAACGAGACCCCCAACTCCTTGGGCGACAGACTGCAGATTCAATGGCCCTAACTTTAAATACGACATCTTGTTGACAATCAAAGCAAGGACGTTTTGAGGACGAACGCCATCGTTGAAGAAGCTGGGTAGCAATGAAGTAAATTACTCCGGCCAGACACTGCAATTTGCGGATTGTAAACACTGTATATTGGCCCAGCTGCTAAGAACTAGGTTGACGATAAATTGCTTGGGCAAAATTGTTGCTTACAAAGATTCAGTGCGTGAGCGAATCAGCGGCGGGGATGGTACTTGGTCACGATTCACACGTGTTTACTTCAGCCAATCAATCTTCTGTACAGACGATTCTGATGCTTCTAGCCATTCCCTAAAGACTGAAGTCAACCATCATGTCTGGCACGCAAAGGGCTTATGTGTTCTTCCTTATGGATCCACACATAATTGAATGTATAGTCGCAAGACAAGGAGCTGGAGCAAGCTACGTAAGTAGGCAGGCTGGCACGCCAATGATATGAATAATACACGTCATCCATTGCATATTGGGTTCGCTCTTTCACTACGACGCGGACGGTACATGCATCTATTCCGAGCTAGCTCTCGTAAACATACGAAGGTCCACTATTGCATCACGGTGGGCCTGGCATTTGGTCGAATGTATTTGAAGCACTGCCGCCATGCCGTGTTGCCTCTGCAGTGTCCAAATATCAATGCGCGCCTATGCATTGCAATATACCGGATCAAGTTCAATGGCTGACTCGGGATTTTGATCGGAACACGTATTGCAACAAGTGGCCCGCTGTACAGACATGCCGCGCGTCCAACACGGCGGCCGCGCCGTGTTTGATTTGAATGTACAGAAGCTTCGTATTATAGCCCGCACTGCAGGGAGCTAGCTCAGGTCTTCTTGATTTTCAAAAGAGAGACCAGCATGCATGATTTCCCCAACTCAATTCCAATCGATTTCTGCGTGTGTGTGTCTATTGATCACAATTGGCAGCAATTGTGACTAGTCTCACGCGCTGAATAGAACTCTCTGTCCGATTGCAGGATCACATCGTTACAATTTGTCCGAGTCACTCTAGGTTTCACGGACCGGATCAGATTTCCCACACTTTCAGTTCGACATGTTTCTTGATTTCCCGTTGGTTTAAGTCTTGTGATGGCGTTCCTCAATACTTCTCATTGTGGCAAAAACAGGCTCTACAGATCGCAGCTGCAGTTGTAGGCAATTCCTTACCGTACTCTTTTGTCACGAACTAAAGACAGCTCTCTTCCATCTATGCCTTTGGCAAAGCATATCATGTGTTTCAATCTACAATCTTGGTACAGGATGCTAAAGTACAGTATACTTGCAATACTCAAAGCTTTATCAGTACAACGTCGTCGGCCATGATACACCTCGTTCACAGATCACCTAAAAGCGTTTCACATTCTCCACACCACACCTCAAAGCGTTACACTTCCGAACTCGCTAGCTGGTCTCAACGCTTGCTGGCACTCCCTCTGGTCCCAGTGTGACGACGGCTACTCCACTCGGATCACCCCCCTGCTCTTCGAAGATGACCAGCAAATTATCGGTGGGCTGCAACCACTCTCTGGGGACGTGGTACCTGTGCACCCCGGGCAAAAAAAGCGTCAGCGTTACATCCAACAAGCTAGCACACAGAAATGCGTGAACGGGGACAAGCTCAGGGGAGGAAAGCAGGGCTTGCTCGTAGACCGCTTCCCTTGATAGGCCGCAAGGAAGACTTTCGAGATGACGGACTCAAGCCAAATCAGCCCCGAGCTTGCAAAGGGGAAGGCTACACTGCTCGAAGAACGGATGTCGTAAGCGGGCCGCGAGGGCTGTCTGCGCGGCTCACCATCTTTGGATGGGCTGGCCGCAGCCGGTGTAGCACTTGTCCGTGCGGAACGGTCCTCGGTAGTCGCATGGCGGGCACTGGCCGGGCGCGGCAATCTGCGACGGCCAGTGGCGACCGATGCCGTGGCCATTGACCCACACCAGGCCCTTGCCCAGCGACTGCAGGTCCAGAGCGACCGGGGAGGTGCCCGGGGGGGAGGCGAAGGACGTCTGCAGCAATGGCGGCATTCATGTGTCAAATCGCTAATTTACTGCACTGAAAGGCCGAAATTTTAGGGCCTAATGTGTGGTCTTCTTCAGAGCATGATGCTGATCTCAAAGGCAAAAATAAACGATATCAAGTTCGGCCAAGTTCTCCTTTCTAGAGGTTCTCTCCTGTACACACCGCTTTGCTCAGTTGGCAGCGTGTGGCTCGGGCGATCTCTTGATTCTGGTCCGCATTCAGAAGCTACAACTGGCGCTCATGCATCCTCAAAGAGTCATTTCCGAACCACACCCTGCTCCGCTCCCGACGACATAGTCGGATGCCTTTGAATCATGCCCGGTGACACCGGGCGAAGCTGCCGGGGGCCGTGCCGAGCGGGTGGTGCGTGCCCACCTTGTACCAGGTGAAGGGGCTGCCGACGCTCCTGCCCAGGCCAGCGGACCAGGTCACGTTGCGCTGACCCTCGGGGGAGAACACACCGCGGAGCTCGCCCTCCAAGGCCGTCTGCAACGCACGAGCGATAAGTTCTCGACGGAAGCAAGGGCAATTGGACAGAACTCGACTTCGTCTGAAGCTAAAACCCACATTCATCCTACATGTCAGCATGCTGAGCGGCGTGGCATCGCTCCCTGTTTCACCCTCCTGATTGGCTTCAAAGGTGACTTGACTTTTCTGGTGCGGCACCGGCGCCGGCGCACCTCATGCGTCCAGTTGCCGTGGGTGAGATTGGCCGCCAGGTCGATCTCGTTGCGCAGCAGCAGCACGTGCCCCGTGATGCCCGCACCCATCTGCTCGAACCGCGGGGAGAAGTTCTGCAGCCAGGAAAAGTGAGTCAAGGTTTTGATAGATTGCTTGTCATCCAGGCACCGAGACCATTTGTTTCAGGAGGCACCTTTACTGCCACCGCGTGGCTCTGTTTAAAACGTCTTTTCTGAAGGCCTTGGACGATGAGAGACGGGTTGTCGTATGATTTAGGCAGCATCTCAACTTCAATACCGCGCTGTCGTCTCAAGGCGTGCACCCAGTCCTCCCAACGACCGAGTTGCCAGCCTCGTATCCCCTGCAGCGCTCACCTGCAGGCCCACCGTCTCGACCAGGACCGCCAGCTCGTTCTCCGTTCCGTCCTCTCGAGGCGACACGGGAGCAGTCAGGTTCAAGCCGCCCATGACGTGACCTGCAGGATGGACAGCGGGCACGGTGAGGCTCGGAGCGTTGCCGGAGAGATCGCTTCAATCAAGCATACAAGAACTGTTCCTCAAGCAAAATCTAACTTGATGGGCTCGAAATTGGCTCACTACCCTGGTGTGCGGATCGCTAGTACGCTAGCGCAGGCGGAAGCCCCATGAGTGCAAGTTTCAATGAAAAGGCTGAAAGCACCTCACCGATGTAGTCGCCGTTCAGGAAGAAGTGCACCAAATCGCGTGCGGCTGTCAGCATGATGCTGTACGTGGCGTTGTTTGAGTCCGGAAGGCTGGTGGAGTTCAGGGTAAAGCTGCAGCATAACACATGGGTTAGAACACCCGACGAGCCGTGGGGTTTGCTTTGAGCCGGAGCATCCCGCAATGAAACTCTATGTTCCGCGAGGTTCTTGTAAAGAAATTGGCAGCTGGAAGAAGGCTGGTACGCTCTTAGGCCCAGTAGATTGATGACGCATGGCAGGTCCGATGCCGGCTTGGGACATCTGTTCGGAACACCTAGAAGACCCGACGTCAGCAAGCAGTGATTGGCGCGACTACCGACGTGTGTTGACGGGCTGCCCCGCGTACCTGCGCCTGTACCAGAGGTAGTCGCTCGTGTCCCGCGTGGTGGCGATCTGTTCCAGGGGGACGCGCGCCGTGACGGCATGCTCACGCGGGGACAGCGGCTCGGCCCAGTGACTCCACTCCAACGTGCCTGCACGGAAGAGGGGAAAGAGCTCCACCTCTGCTGCTGGATCGTGCAACAGCTACTTCAAGTTGGGTATTTAGAGCACAGAAAATTAAGCGAACGGGTCTTGGTGCATAAGCAAGTGGGCCTTTTCCAGGCCTCATGGTTCTGCAGCCACGACATGTGATGAGGACTTGCATGTCTGTCAGCATCGTACTGAATGTCTAAACGTTGTGCCGCGTCTTTTGAAACCATACCTCAAACAATCCGCTAACAATATTAATCCGATACGCCGAGGGCACCATGCTTAGTGCTTACCGGATTGAACGTGCTCAACGATGCGACGGTCGCCTGTGACCTTTGACGTGGCCGTTGATGCCGCTTCAGTCGTTGATTCCACAATTGGCATGATCGCCTTAGGACGAGCCTCCATCTGAGAGTAGAAAGAAAGCCTCAGGATACATCTCTGCGAAGTTGGCCTGGCCTGAAAACAAGTACGGAGACCTGATGAAAATGCATCAGCACAAGAAATGAATCTCTGTTTCACTCCTTCACTTCCTCCTATCATGTTGTTTCAAATAAAACACGCCGAACCGAGCTCGGTTGTTCGTTCCAAGCCGTCAGCGCCGAGCCCCGGCCTATGCTGCAAGATACCTAACAATCATCACAACATTGGGTGCGAGTCCAAAGGCGAAGCATGGCTGCCGTTGCGCGTGGCGGCGTCACCTGGGCGGTGTTGAAGCGCACAGTGGTGCAGTCGGGCAGGACGGAGACGGACCAGGGCGGCAGCACGTACGGCCGGCCGCGGAACGTGGCCAGGAACGGCAGCGACTCGTCCCAGTTGGACAGGAACGCCGCGCACGGGCCACTGCCGTTGCTGGCGCCGAGGGAGGTAAACAGGTGAGCCTGAAAGAAAATTGCCATTCACTCGAACGTTTTAAAAAGCGCACAATGTCTGACTTACAGGCTGAATGAAAAGAGCGGACAAAGTTGACAGAGATGAGATGTGTGGACAGAATTTCGAAATGAACGATAGTTGAGAGATGCGGAACGCCGACTTACGTTTCTTTCGTAGCGCGAGCCAGGGAATGTGAAGCCTCCTAGCTAAGCGCTTGAGAAAGTGTCTCGAGAACATCGCTTATGATTCAAGGGTGCATCGGACGAGATGCCGCGGGCGGGCAGTCACCTCTTGCTTGGGTCCCAGCTGCTGTACGAGCGGCTCGTCCACTGCGAGTAGGGCACCCTCGCAAGCGCGGATGGCCGAGTGCAGCGCCGCCAGGTGGCTGTACTTGGGCTCGCGGATGAGGCCTGAATCAAAGGGGAAGTCTGAATTGGTATACCCCTTTCATGATTCTTTGTGTTTAGACCCGAGTCGAGGGTCAAAACAATGCATGATATCCTAGCCAAAGTCAATTTCAGGACTCGACGATCACAAGGTGAAAAAGTGGTACAAGCAGTTGAAACAGTCAGGCTGTCACAAAACGAGGGACACTCTTTCTTTCGAGAAGTCTCCCCCAGCTAAAATTGACAACGGACAGCGGCGGTCTCTTGGCCACCTCTTCTCAAGCAGATGCGCAAGGCATACTCGAGATGCCGAGACATGCTCACCATATTCGTCGAGGGGCGCATCGTAGTCGTACGATGTCGTAAGGAAAGGCCCGCCTGTTGTGCGCCCGAAGCTCGTGCCTCCGTGGTACTGCAGCAAAGCAGGCACAAGGAGGCGTCAAAGGAGGCGTCTAGAACCCATTGAATGCACCAGCTCAGAACCAAATTGAATTCTGGGTTCGCAGAGCCTGCTTGTCGCGACTTTTGAACGGACCATCGGGGCAGGCTGTCTCCTCGGACTCATTGCACCAGCTTTACGAGGTAATACAGCAGACCGGGCGGCTGGATTCTGCTGGGCCGCACCATGTAGTAGCTCATGAGCGCTCCCCCCTTTGCGTAAAAGCGGGCGACGGCAAACGCGATGTCCTCCGCAGCGCGCCTCGGCATTGGGTACAACCAGCCGCCAAACCTGTGCCAGGTGAAAAAGCTGTCAGCGGCGAATTCAGCCGCTTCGGCTTGATTCTGAGAGCACGGGACGCTCAGCAGCCGTCGAAGCTGCTGCTCTACGAGACCCACAGGCAGAGCGGAAAGACGCTTGGAAAAGCAGGGCTGTCGGCGATGCACACCCCAGGTGACAGCGTCCGACTCACGTGCACAGTCAACGCAAGAGTACAATCCACCGGGACGACAGCATCACATGCACCCCCAATGCTGCGCATTGGTTCAGGAGCGGATGGTGCTTACCAGCCGTCCCAGTTTTCAGTCCACATCTTGGGCATGGGCCACCGGTGGGGTTGGAAGTTATCGCAGTAGAAGCCATTGCACGTGTTGACCTGGGGCGAAAGAGGAGCGGAGTGAGCCTCGGCAGAGCCGACAGATTTTCCTAGTTAGCGGACGAGGCAGGGCCGAAGGAAGCCCGTGCTCCCGAGAGTTTCAATAACCGTTTCTTCACTTACTGAGGCTGCTTTAGAGTTCTCCAGTGTCAAAATCTGAACGACGGCTAACTTCACAGCTTCTAACTTTACTCTGGTGCACAATTCCAATGTCACCATTCCAGAGTCTTGCACAGAATGCTCATTGCAACAAGATCAGACTCTCGAGAACGGTTTCGGGGACCTACAATGAAGCCCGGGGCGTCTGGTTGCTGGCACATGATCCAGGGCACCCCTGCGTCCAGGGACTTGGCCATGTCGGCAGCCCAGTAGGCATAACGCTTCCCAGCTTCGCCATACGCGGCTTGGACGCTGCCGTACTCGTTCTCGATCTGCGAGAGGTCGAAGATGCTTCGTACTTCAGTATGAAAGATTCACAGCAAAATATGGGCACACGAATGTCCAATGTATGTTGCAAAAGCGAGATTGTTCTTGGTTCATTCTGGATAAATTCTTGGTGGGCTCTCCAACAACATGATTCCTTGGTTGCTACCATTTATGTAGCTTCTCGGTGGGCTCTCCAACAACATGATTCCTGGGTTGCTACTTTTTATACAAACATAAGAATCTGCCCTTAGCACTCGCCACAAGCGTGATGCTTGCCAGGATCCTTGCGCTTTTATGGTGTATCCGTTCATGTGTTACATCCCAGCCCCTCCACGCCAAACACAATCCATAGAGAATGTTACATGACTTCTCGACGAAGGTGAGAAATCGCTTCGATGCAGCAGCTTGGGTGATGCCCTTCTAAGAGAAGAGTGCTCATGGCAGATGCTCACCTGCGCCAGGATGATGGGGCCGCCCTGCCAGCTGAACAGCTGGTGCTCCTTCATCATGGCGACAATCTTGCGGGTGAAAACCTCCATCTTCGCCTGCAGTGCACAAGCTTCGACTGTTGCAATACGCGATCCACGGCACAGAAAGGATTCGTTTTCCCACTCTTGAACTGACAAAAGTTTTATTCGGAGAGCATCAACATAAGGAAGGAATGTGGGCCATATGCAACAGAAACGGGCAGAAGCGCGCACAGTCAACTCAGCCAACCTAGTTCTGTAGTCTGTGAAGCATCACCTTGAATGGTTCATTGTCAGTGCGGAATTCAATGCCAGGCACCTCCAGCAGCCACTGAGGAAAGCCTCTGCAATACCAATGTGTTGTTAGCAGACAAACAAAGTTATGCCCAGCTTACATCACTGGAAATAAGTAAGAGCCAGTAAAAGCGGAACAGGCCTCGGCTTCCGTTGCTGGTCTAAACCAGGGATATTTCACAACAAGCAATGAAGTGGCCCATGCTCCGAGGGACACCTCTTGCTAAGCAAATGGCTTTGCTGTCAGCTAGATGTCTCACCCAAGGTTCCACTCTGCGCAAACATATGGACCAATGCGCAGGATGAGGTAAAGACCTGCACTCTGGACGTCTTTCACAAATCGCACCAGGTCGAAGCGACCCTCAAAATTGAACTGTACACAGCAAGCAAAAACAAGCATCAGGCCTGCAACGACCTTTGGCTGCCGTCCTGATCCTGAAGTGCTTGTCGTGTTGTGCCCTGCGGTGAATAGTTGGTGATGGAACAATTCACGGCCATGCAAGGTCGTAAAACTCTTTTGCAACAACACAGGAGATTCCTTAGTTGCCACTTAAAACCAAGCTGAATATGGAGACTGATTCATCAGGAGAGGTATGAGCAGTCGAGTGAACTTATTAAGGCAAAGTTCTGAGGACCACTGTCTCATACTTACTTGGCCTTCTTGAGGTTCGTGCCCGTTCCAAAACACATAAGTCTGGATTGCATTCAACCCGCCAGCCTTCGACTTCTGCAGTAGATCAGGCCACATCTGCAGAAGGCCAAGATGGATAAAAGACGCTTCTGTTAGACTATGAGCAGAGCAGGCACAGGCACAGTAGTAATGCTCATGCACATTGTATTCAACAATCTTTCTGCACAAGCAAAGAGATTTTTGGTCATCAGCTTGCGACTACACACTCCTGATTTATATTTTGTACCACGTGTAGGCAGGTAAATATACCAATCTACATATTGCCAGTGCTTGCAATCATGTTGCCAAGCGAGATTGACGATGTCCCAACTTCCAAAGCTACTACAGGAAGGCAATTAACGCTCCAAAGTCCCTTCAGCATCATGATGACCATCAAGAGCACTTTCAAGATATCGTATCGCTCACTCAACATGGGGATGCAATATGAATAAGCTGTTAAGAAATTTGCTGGAGCCTGAAAGCGCATTCAATGCCCCGGTCAGCCAATCAGGCCTGTAAAGCACCTGGAAGCCAGTACCCAGCCTTCAACATCTGCTTCACTGCAGAACCAACTCCTTGTAGTAGTCCACCAGACATTTTTGCCTGACCACCACCACCATCAATCAACAATTGTATCCTGGTAGACACATAAGGAAAGTGGTGCATTCCCTGTGCACTTGTCAATGAATGCGTGCACCACCTCAGCAGATGCTCCTAGGAGTGGTGGAGCTGCTCACCGCTGGCGTGCTCCGCGGGTAGTGCACGATTCCTGCTACCACCAGCTGGCGCTCCCCATTGAAGAGGAGGGAACGGTGGTCGAAGCTCACATTGACCGCCTGACCTCCTTGCGCGCTGGCAGCAATTGCCATATGCAGAATGAGGGTGAATAAGAGCAGCGCGCACCGGGACATTGTTGGAAGCTCCATGGCGCAACCAGAGCAGTGCAAAGGTACTCTTCTGAAGCTTCTGACGTTCCTTTGCTGACAGATGGAAGCGCAGCTCAGGACGCTGTTCTGGTCGCGAAGTAGCTGATCGTAGCACTGGCAGGGAAGTAGGTAAGCCAGCCGCTTTTAACACTGCTGGTCTGCTTCCAATATCCGTTGTGTCACCGTCACTGACTCAGTGTCAGTGTGAGATATCGAGTTCGACGGTGCCCACGAGGGATTCCTCACGAGGGCCGACTGAGGACGTGGTGTTGCCAGGCGCTGCATACGGTAGCCTGCGTGGGGGGGGATTGGTCGTCCAGATTAACAGGCCACCATCAGGGCAGCACTACTATTCACCTCTGTGCAGGACAGCGCTGTCTGCTTGCTCAATCACCTGATTGAGATGGGTGTGCGGAGTTGGTGAAATGGTCAGGACCAGCGGTTACTTCTCTTTGTAGAGCACCGACCTGTTCATACTACGGTACGAGCTTAAAAGCTCTAGTTAGCACAATGGCGCAAACTGCTCTTCATTGCAGGACCTGCGCAGCGCTGACCGTGAGCTTTTCTCAGCAAACCTCAGCCTCTTCTCAGTCTCCTCACAAAACCCCTGGTGTCCTCGCACCGCAGTCATACGGAGTGTTGCCTTCCGGCATACCACTCCAGCATTGTCAGCATTTGACAGCGTTCCATGAAGCTAGACCCAGGCCACGGCGTTGCAGTGCCCGGAGACCTGTCCGCGCTGCTGTTGCTGACCCACCGTTGAGTGGGGGCATACAGTGGGGCTCACCGGCTGTCAGAGATGTGCAGTGGGGAGAGCCGCAGAGGGGCACAGCTGCGACAAAGACAGTAGAGGTGAGGGGTGGACTGCTGTGAAGTAGCAGATGGGCAGTCAGAAAATGGAGCGCACCTTTTAAACAGTCAAATCCAAGACCGGCGGTCTACAGTCCCTGTGTACAGCACCCATCGATTGTTCTCTGTGTTATACAGTGCCCATCGAAAGTTGCCCCCTGGCGCTTCAAGAAAACCAAGCCTCAGTTTATAACTTTTGTCCCCCCCATGCGTGCCGACTATTTCTTCTGAAGGATGGGCATCCAGGTTTTTCTCTACTCATCTGATAAGCTGAGTTTTGGAGTTCCCCGCTTCATTAGACAAGCCAGTCTTTGGACAATCCTTGTGCCCTTGCAGTTAGTCCCCACTCGAGGCACTCCGTCAACATATGCTCTCTACCAGCCACCCGCTGAAAATATGGACACATACTCAGTAAGTGCTGAAGAGGCGGCTGCAGCAGCTCGGGCAACTAACGTTCCAGTGTACAACCCCGATGCAATGGCGCGGGAGTATAGCAGGCAGCCACTCAAGGTTAGCCCTCACTGTTTTCTCCCCTTTTATGGGCGCGGTGGGTGTGTTGTTCGAAATCGCACAGGCCCAGTCAATCGGTAGGGTGCCACCTTGCAGGTCTTTACTGTGACTGGTTCTGACACTCGGTTGTGTAAGCTCAGCGGCTATCGAGCGACAGCGGGCTGCCCATCGTGTCTGTATCCGGTGGCAGTGGAGAAGGCTAGGTTTACCTGAAACACCTTTGTTGGCTGGAACGACTCTTTTGCCAAACCAGAGGTATAGCTAGAGGAGAAGGCTTGAAATCAACAGAGATATTGATAGAAAACGTGTGTGTGTGTGTTCCCCGTAGGTATTAAGGCGAGCGTTGCAGATTGTGACGACCATTGGCAGCTTTGGGCTGACCCTGCTCCAGGACCGGCAGCGCGGCCGCCTGGACTCGCGCACCATGGTTCTGCGCGCCAAGCAGCTCCGGGGGCAGCTCACGCAGCTGGGGCCAACGTTTGTCAAGGTGGGGGCCCAAAAGTGTCAAAAACGTGCCTGCTATGAAGGGCCACCGTTGGCACTCAGATGAGACGCAAGCGTTCAAGACCTTCTGGTCAAGATCTCGTTCCACATGGACAGGATTTTGGAGCAACTTCGTGGCTGTCCTTGTCAACTTTCTGTTACTCATGTGACCAGACCAGCCGGCCATTCCCGGGAAGAGTGACGTGAACCCTTCGTATCGTCACTGCAGGTGGGGCAAGCCTTGAGCACGCGGCCCGACCTGTGTCCCCCGGAGTACCTCGAGGAGCTGGCAGCCCTGCAGGTGCGCTTATCTGGAACATGCTCTTGCCGAGCATCCTCCCCCCACCTGACGAGAATCTTTCACGGTCTGTTGGGCGAGATCTTTGAGACCGCCGTGTAGATTCCGGCTCCTGCTGACAGTGATGCTGCATGGGCACCTCAGAGCCAGCCTGATCAAAGATGAGCACTCTTCTTCAAACCATGATCTAAGAGCGGTGTGTCCTTGTAGATATAGCAACACTATTATAGGATGGCGATGGTTTAGTGAGGCCACTATCCCCCCGCCTCTTCTAAGCAGTACCAATTTGCGGACATCGCAGGACGCCCTGCCCACGTTTTCGGACGCTGAAGCCTTCAGCCTGATTGAGCGCGAGCTGGGTGGTCCCCTCGAGTCGTACTTCTCGTCCATCACAGCCACGCCCATCGCGGCAGCCAGCCTGGGGCAGGTGAGGCGCGCAATTGCAAGCCTCGCGGCTTTGGAATCAGGGGCCTCGCAAGCGCCCAACTGTTGAAATCTGGGGTCTGAGGATCCCGTCAATCTACTTCACAACTTCGTATCAATCTCCTCTACTTGCCTATCCTCTGCATGAAGCATCCCAAAAGCTTTCCGCTTCCGAGAAAAATCTGATGTTCCAGGTACCGCACTACCTGAGCTGTCGCTGTGCTATAGATTAGTCGGTGATTCAGCCTGCCACCTTCGTTATGCATGATCGCGGCGTAAAATTTCAATCAAAGCGACCGTTCAAAGTTGCCTGCCGTTTAGCAATCTCAGCAATAAGTTTTATTGGGCTGCTTGTGATCAAGGGACCTCGCGTGTACAGGTGTACAAGGCGCGGCTGCGGCGCGACGGCAGCCTGGTGGCGGTGAAGGTGCAGCGGCCGGGCATCGTGGAGCAGATCAGCTTGGACTTTTACCTGGTGCGCGCCGCGTGCCAGCTGGTGGACAAGTACGTGGACGCTGTCACCACGCCGCTGGTGCCTCTCGTCGACGAGTTTGCCGCGCGCGTCTACCAGGAACTCAACTACGTCCAGGTCAGCGCACGGCTCGCCAAACTCATCTGCCTGCCTCACGGCGATGGCACAGAACATTTTATTAAACAACGAAGAATTGAATCTCTGACCCGGGTTCTTTCGTCGCATATCATAATCAAGGATCGCCGTTGGGGGTTTACACGCTAGCCGACTCCGCTTTGTCCTACTGCGGGGTGTCTCTAGGCCCTTCTGCCCACGAGGTTTCGTCGGGATGTTTTCTGCAGAGTGTCCGACGATCTCACCCTTTCTTCTTTGACTAGTCGCTTTTGAGTGCCCGCCAAGCCGGCAGCGGAGCCATTAGTGCCCTGCATTCTCCTAGGCGTCTTTCACTCAACCCGGTTCGTTGCTCGCGTCTGGTTGGCCAGATTCTAAGCTGTCGTGTCTGGTGCAGGAGGGTCGCAACGCGGAGCGCTTCCAGCGGCTGTACGGGGACCGCGTGGACGTCAAGGTGCCGGCCATCTACTGGGAGATGACCGCCGCTCGCGTCCTTACCATGGTACGGGGCCAACTCACACGTTTACTTCTCAGGTTATAGGAACACGGTCAATGCATCACGGTCAAGCGACTGCGAGATCATTCGGTCCCGTGCTCTCCGCTTGAAGGCTTCTATTTTCGCAGGCCGCACAATCGTCGCTTGCAGCCGTCAGGTTGTTAGCATGTCACCCGCGTGCCTTTAGCTTTAGCGGCGGGCCTCAAGTTCGTGCTTCCTGACGAGCTGACGCTGCATGAAAGAGCTCAGGGCTTCTCCAGCGACGACTGCAGCCTCCCTCGTCTAAGGCTCTCGCTGCAACGCCGCTGGACCTCTTATATCCTTCCACACACAGCTGCGGTTCTCCTCCTCAACCCGGAATCAAGCCGTTGAGCTGCAGCGGTGCCCGTGGCGCGTGTGCAGGAGTGGATCCAGGGGACGAAGCTGAGCGACCTGCCGGCGATCAAGGCGCAGGGCATGGACATCCTGGCGCTGGTCAACACGGGCATCCAGTGCAGCCTGCGCCAGCTACTCGAGGCGGGCTTCTTCCACGCAGGTGCGCATGACGCAGGCCGGTGGGATGCCCGCCCGGCCCTTGTCTGCTCAGTCTCGAGTCCGCTTTTCTGAAACCTGCTGCAGTGCGATAGGATCCACTCAAAAGAGTGCAACTTGCAAACGAAGACGAAGTTAGAGAACACATTTACTGGTCTCCAGACGTCAACCAGACCATGATGTTGTTCTTATTTCTGGCGGTCTCATTCGCAGACCCGCATCCTGGCAACCTGCTGGCGACCCCGGACGGCAAGCTGGCCTTCCTGGACTTCGGCATGATGAGCGAGACGCCGTCCAAGGCACGCCTCGCCATCATCGGTCACGTGGTTCACCTCGTCAACCGGTGAGTGCGCTTCTGGCCCAGGGTACGGTGCAGATTAGGGCCCCGGCCACAAAGTGGTGGGCGAAAGTGTGTCGGTCGCTGGCCCCCTCCCTTGCCTCGCCTCCCGGATGCGTAGAGCGGCCTCTCTGCGGCGCTAAGGATGGGTGGCGGGTTGCACTCAATTGGTGTAAAAACAACCTTCGCAAAATGACCGCTGGCTGCCGTATCCGCAGTTGGGATTGAGGTTTTGACAGCTGGATTCGAGACTCCGGCCTCGAACACTCTGCTTTTGAACAGGTGCCCAGCCCTTGCTGACGTGAGTTGCGGCGTTACAGGGACTACGAGGCGATGGCGCGCGACTACTACGTGCTGGACTTCTTGACCCCGGACGTGGACGTGTCGCCCATCGTGCCGGCGCTGCGCGGCTTCTTCGACGACGTGCTCAGCCTGAGCGTGCAGGAGCTCAACTTCAAGACCATCGTCGACGGCCTCGGCGAGCTCTACTACGACTACCCCTTCACCGGTGCGCGCGCCGCCCCGAACCCACCCTACCTGGGCCGCAACTTGTGTTGTTTGTCTGGGCTTAGCTCGAGCTGTGCTGATCCTGTTGGAGGCAGAGGGGACTGGTGGTGGCACAACCACCAGGTCGACACCAGAGTTGACAGGCTACCGGTCTGAAACCGCCTCCTTTCGGAGCCCTCTTTACCCAACTCCGGACAAGCTCGAGCGTCGGTTGACCCGTCCCGTTGCTACGCGCAGTCCCGCCGTACTACGCGCTGATCCTGCGGTCGCTGACGGTGCTGGAGGGGCTGGCCCTGAGCAGCGACCCCGCGTTCAAGGTGCTCGCGGCCGCGTACCCGTACATGGCCAAGCGCCTCCTCACCGACCGGGACCCCTACCTCCGCGACGCGCTCGTCGAGCTGCTCTTCAAGGACGGCCGCCTCAGGTGCGCCACGCTCACACTTCCACGATTTGGCGTGCAATTCTTTTCGGATCTGCGGACAGCTCAGGAGAAGAAGCTGCGTTATGACGAGGCCCCCACTGTGACAGGCGAAGTCGTCGTGGACACTTGAGAACCTTTTGAAGACTTTTTGTCTTGCCTCTACGTTCTCGTTTTGTCCTGGTCGGACGACTTCCAAATTGCGCGGGCACTCCTGGCTGCTCCACCGTGCTACCGACATTCCTCTCTTTCTCCAATTGCACCAGTGTGAGTTGCCCACTACCTGGCGCCTGGTACCCCTGGTTCCTGGGCCCCAGAAGTCTCGGTTGAGACTCCTGACCGCATCCCTACTCGTTCCCCCGCAGGTGGAACCGGCTGGAGACGCTGCTGGCGGAGGGCAGCAAGGACTCGGACTACCGGGCGGGGGAGGCGCTCCAGCCCGTGCTGGGCCTCCTGCTGGGGCCCGGCGGCGAACAGCTGCGCCGCCTCGTCGAGCAGGAGGCGGTCAGGGTCACCGAGGTGCGCCCGCAGCTGCGCGCACAGCCACCAAGGCAGACCGTGGGGCTCGTTCTGCAGTTCCTTGGAAAGCCAAGAGTTGAAAAAGAGATGTGCTCGCAGTCTTTGCTGCGCAGGGTGCGGTGTGCAGCCGGCCACGATTTTCCACCATGAGGGTAGAAGCACCAGCGAATGTATGTATCTCCGTGGCTCCTGAGAGCACAGCCTAGGCGCTGACGCAGCCGTTTGACGTCATACTCTGATGCTTCGCAGGCTCTTGTGATCGGACAAATGCTCGAGACGGCCCGCATGCTGCCCACTCCCCTCCAAGGGCTGGTCCCTTTCTCCCCCGCTGGCACTCGCATCGGGACGCTCGCATTGGGGACGGTGAGGAGTCTCGTTTGTGAAACGACAGCGAATTCCTTGCGGCTCTTTGTTTCAAGCGGAGACGGATCGTGCACCTTCTTTTCGACATCAAGCTTTGCTATTGTTCACTACATGTGCTTTTTAGCGGCGATTGTGACTGATTGTAAGCTCATTTGATTACATCTGAGTGCTCTCATAGTTCCGGCTTGCCTCCTGTGCCGCTTGTCGGCACCGTGGCCTTTGCCTCTGTTTCCTGTGCCGGCCTCCAGCACGTCAGAAGGAAGTGTTCCGTATATCTGTCCGGGGGGCGTTGCTCTTCGGTTCCGCCGTCACTGGGGTTGACGCGCGTGCGTGCGGTGTGCAGGGGCTGAAGCCGGAGGACGAGGTGCGGCTGCTGCAGCTGCGGGCGCAGGTGCTGCGCGTGTGGGACCTGCTGCGGAACGACAAGGGCTTCGACCCGGCGTCGTTGCAGCCCATCCTGCAGGTAACGCCCCGGGAGCGGGACAACCGGCTGGCCCCCACTTGCCGGTCACGCGGCATGCCAGGGGCCATTGCAGGAGGCTGGACTGCAAGCGTTGGCTAGTCTGCAGGCGCAAGAGCTAGCACGCCGTGTCACTGGCATCGTGCCACGGTTGTGTATCAGCGACGTTGCTTGGGATGTCACATCCAGCCGCACTCTTGCCATGTTAACACGCCGACCAAAGTGTTGCCAACCGGTTCTTCCTGCTCCCTTTGGTCCGAGGAGCAGGCTTCTGATTCTGGTCCGTCGGGTAGTCGTGAACGCGGTGCTGATCCTGGTTACCCGCTGCTTCCCGCCCTGCCAGAGCTGCCCGTATTTGAGAGCATCTCAGGAGCATCGGATGGCCATTGCAGGTACTTCAGCGGCCAGAGGCACAGGTACTCAGCATCAACGTGGCCTCGGGGGTGTTCCAGCGATTAGCGGCTCGCTTCTTGCAGCAGCTGCTGAGACCAGCACCTGCGACAGTACGGACTTGATTGTACTGTCGTGCCAATCGACCAACCCGGCAAGCAGAGTTGTAGATATTGTCTGCGAGTCGAACATTTCTATTTGCCATGTTGCATTCGGTCCCGGATGAGTCTAAAACGCACGCGTTGACCTTCAAGTATTAGACAGCGACGTTGGGGCATTATTGGTAGGTATTCCTGTTGCTTGTCAAGGCACTGAGGACCACTTGGATCTGATCATGCATGTTCACAATTGCTGGATATCATTATCGATGTCTTTGCACTGTTGAGCCGCTTGCACGGCCAGGCCCATTGGCCCGGCACACGTGAACAGACCCGCGTGGGCCTAGCTGGCAATATATACGTAATATCTAGATCTTAGCTTGAGCTAGTACGTCCGTAAGATCTCAATATCATAGCTAAGAAAGGCTCACTCAGCTATAGGCCGAATATCGCATGCAAGCTTCACAAGCTGAAGCTCCAAGAACTCTAATGTCCCATCAGTGCGGCACTCCCATGCAAGAGCAAGATCGATGGCCAACATGACCTAGATCTGAAGCTTTGCAATTGTTATACCATGACCGCAGCCTTAAGCATGCATGCGCCGGAGCCGGCATGGCCTGTCGGTGATTAAGTTGATCATCTTCGCACGCCAATTCAAGTCTTACCAATGCACATAAATATCTTGTCGATCTCTGACATATCTAGCTTGCACTGGCACCATGGCGTGATATCGATCATGCATTAATAAGCAAACACAAATATGCACGGATTGTAGGGTTTGGCAGTGAATGAGGTCCCGATCCTTGGTTGCGACGTAAAGGCGGAACGCGTGCAAAAGCCGCCGCGCAATCCTCAATCCTCAGGTCAGATTCTTGTAAGTTAGCCTTCAATATGCAAGATGTCACAGTCAGTGTGGATCAGGCGGATATGACGTGCATGCATCATAGAGTATTTAAAGCGAACGCGCCGCTCCGCCGCACATTAAGAAAGGTCGGAACCTCAATTATGCATACATTGCAAGCTGATCGTTGGCATGGCCGGCCCAGTGGAGTTCTTCAAGACGTCCGCATTGTATCTGCCGCGGAACTCAGTATGCAGCCTGCATGGTATTGCCCCGGTATTGCATGCAATTAACCGTTTCATGCCTCCGGCCGCCCGCATGAGTACGTATTTAATGCAATATAAGCGGCCTGCACAATGGTGGAATCTAGGTAGTGATTCGTGCAATTGGATCGTCAACACCTGTTGAATAATGTGACATGATACATCATGATTCAGGTTTGTATGATTGCAGACTGTCAGCCTATATACTGAGTTCGTTGCGGGGTGTGCCGGCCGCGGTGTGCCTCAGAGCGACCTTAAAGAGGGCGTCAGATATCAAAGCGCACTAGTGGCATCTGAACCCTGACTCAAAATCATCTAAGTTATGAAGCACGGAAGACGGAACAAGTATCTGACTTGTTCTTCAGATAGAATCGTTCTTGCTATCTTGTGGACCGCAAGTGGCGAGGATGCTTCTGGCTCTGCCATTCGTATCATCGGACGGACTACATCGCACCTTGAAATGTGGCCCGAGCGACCAAATGCCCCATTTTCGGGGTACATGGTCGCCGAGGCATTGCGGGTCACAGGACGCCCTGGGCCCTGTCTAAGCGTTCATATATTAAGAGAATTTGAACGGCGAACTGAATGACTGAAGCGATATTTCCATGTTTTACTATCATCACTGATACCGTCAGGCCACAGTATATTCAGCCAGTCAACTTTGCTATCATTGAAAACGGTATCAAACTTTGTGGCAGACTAGTAGGATACAAGCTCCCGAGACCCTTTGACTTTGTCCCAGTTACATTGATAACTCCCGCTGACAGTCTACAGTGCCAATGATATCAGTGGAGCTTATATCAGCTGATTGCACTATCCATCATAAATCTTGGCACTTTTGTCTTCATGGATACATGACATACCGCATGCCTGTGTTTCTGACCAAACGTGTTGCCTGTGTTTTACGTTCATTTTGATAACATCACCTGAAGCTCCCGGTACAGCATAGATGGCGCCTGGCCGGCGTTAGAAAAGTCAAGCCGGTTATATGCGGTTAGTCACATGGCTCGAGTTACCCTGAGTTCGCAACTAGCACGCATATAACAGTTCTGCC